TGGGAGTAAACATTGGGCGGAGCTCTGTGCTATTGCAAACTGTTGTAACCTACAGACTACAGAACGCTTTATCGTGGCAAGACCCAACCCCCCAATCCGCTTAAGCAGATTAGGGTCAATTATTGACATATTTCTTCCCCTTTATAATGAGACACATGGCCCAATTAGCCAGACATAGATGGAACCTGCTAGATAACCCCTTGTAATTAGATGAAATTCCTCCAGTTCTCAATAAGTTGGTGGTGCAATCCCGTCATTCAACCACAACAGTAGCTCGGGGCCAAGCGAGGGTCATCAAAGTGCTCATTACTGCACCGATATGGAAGCCCAGAAAGTAGGTAGTGTTTATCTACTTTCTCACAATAGCCAAGATGCGAGTCGTTAGAGTCTCCGAAAGCCTGAAATTATGCTCGTTATTGTTAAAACCCTTTGCCCTTTTAGGTTTTGTCTTGAGGGCTGCGGAGCTGAGTATGGTTATTACCCTGCTTAACTACAGTATTGGGTGTGCGTAGCGGGATGGGCCGCTGTGATGTATAATTTGCAGAGGATTAAGCGAATGCTTCAAATGGCTAGGAAACACCTGTGCCTGGCATCCTGTTTGCTAGATATCAGGTAAGCCAGGTGGACGTACGTTTTCTGATGTTTTGCAAAATGTTGTGTCAGGGATTCGGGTGGTTTTTCTGGGTGTTACCGACCAAACTGCCTGGATTTGCCAACAAACTCTAACTGAAATTCGGGTAATTCCAGGTTAACTGGACTTTTCTCTCCAAATTACCAAATGTGCTGCCAGGATTGCCATCCTTAGTACGGTCGTTACCAGGGGGACTTGTCCTAACTACCAGGATTTCCCGATGAATTTTAACTGAATTTGCTGTAATTCCAGGTAAACTGCAGGCTTGCGATTGGGAAACATCATTTGTCGCTTAGGAGAAAGAAAGGCTCCAAACGTAACTACCAGGATTTCCTAACGACTTCAGACTGATTTCCAGGAAAAGTAGCCTGTGGTACACTGAAAAGGGAAGGTTCATCCTAGTTTTAGTAGTTTTAGCCGAGAGGAGACTCCAGTAAAGTCTATGATAAGTTGGAGGGTCTTGCGGTGCTAATGGTCACCTGCCCAGAGCTCAGCCTGAGCTTACACAGGTGCGGGGTCGGCTGTGTGGTAATGAGAACAGGTTTGGCCAAGATTTACGGTGACCTGGAAATTGTCCGGGTCAGATTATGGCTAGGATTACAGCCTGTCAATAAAGGGGATCGTTGTCATTAATTCGGAAGTGCATGTCACGCTTGGTGAATATTTAATTCACAAACATTGCGAGTGTGTAACCGGCCTGTCTGTAACAGCACCACTAGAACATCTTGGGCCTTGGCATGAAAGATGATTTTCATTTGAGGCCTTCCAGGGTCAGACAGTGTAGATGCATGTACAGGTACCAATGATTGATGACTCAGGTATGCAGGGTTCTAGCTAGCACATTTCTGCATATCGTGTGACTTCCAAAAGGTCAAGAGTACAAGTTGTCTATCTGAGACTTGCTCCTGAAAAGTGTTGCAGTCATTACAGGACCAGAGGATGTTTTTAAACTGTGGTTCTCCATTCATTATGTCCGCTTAAAAGAGCAAGAGGAATTTCCCCAGTACATAAAAGTTCTATATACCACGCACAGCATCTGTTCATCTTGTCACAACCAGTGGAAGATGGGCTTTGCTGTAAGCTAACTGGGATTGAGATATATTTCTTTTTCACTGGCCAGAATGATCACCCAATCCGTTTACTAGCTTCCACAGCCAAACTGAGGACTCCCTTCTGAAACATCTTTACCAAGTTCAATAGATCTTTCCAATCAGGCTCAGTGTTGTCTGTCATTCTGTGGCTTGGAACAGAGCTGATAAGTGTTAACGTGGGTTTATGGGATCCACTGTTGATGGCTTCTGAGTCATTGAATGGGGAAAGAATGCCTCCATTAAAGGGATCATATAATTAGTCCATCTGCCATACTTAACCATTGCGTCAGGACATAGCTCTTTCCAACCTGCAGGTGCCAAGGTTTCACAGTGGAAACAAAATCGCAAAAATAGATATTCTCTTGTTGTAAAATTTTAAATGTACTGTACACTAAAGAATCAATTTTTCAATGGGCTAGCAGGCCTGTCTGCCAGACAAGAAGAGACTGATGGAATGTTGGCTTGCCTGCAGTGCAGGGGTATCCTGCTGGGGGTACTTGATACTTCAGCTTGGTTGTGTGCTTTACTGTATTGGCAGTAAACTATATGGAGAGGACATGCTGTACTCTAGATCATATAGCACATTAAAAATTTAGCACCAGTCAGTCTAGTGAAGGGAAACTAATATCAAATGGACATTCTTTCCCTTCTTTTTCTAGGGTAGTATGTTTTCAATAAAATCATTTTTAAGTATTGGCTGTTTAAGTCATGTTGTTTTGATATCGAAGACCACTTGAAAGCCAGGGTGATCTCTGCTTCATCTTGATTTCATTTGTAACGCAAGAACCAAGTAAATTTTCATATCTATCTTTTACGTGGACAAAAATGAAGAAAAGTGGGATTAAGTCAACCATTACTTCCCCCTTGATATCTCATTACCAAAGCTCATACGGCTTTGAATGTTTCTCATTACCACCTAACTCAATTGCAGTGTATACATAATGCATGGTTTAGACCTTAATTCCTCTAATCTGTTTGGAGCAGCAATATATTTGATGGTGGAAAGGCTACAAAACATGTTTGGGCAATTCAATTAATATGATAGCTATGATACTTGCAAGTCCAGTCATGGATTTCTCTTCCTCCCTATAACAGATATGTTTGAAGTTAGGAACCAAAGGTTGGGATGTCGCAGTTCTAATATGCCAGATGTTGCTGCAAGGTTTGTATTATCGTTGCCACAATGCTCTCATTACTTGCCCTCTGGTCTACCTTTGCCTTTGGGATTTATCTGCGAGCTGATACAGTGAGGGGTGCGGATGGTTGCACAAGGACAGGTACTGTTTGCGAGACAGACAAACAATAGGCAGTGCGAGGGGAAGCGGGCTGTTTGACGGATATTCTGTCACCTGCCTTCGGTGCAGACATACGTCTGGACAGGGGTCATTAAATGTCTTTATCTTCTGCTGGTGAGGTGTTCAGGACTACATGCCCTTCCGCTAGTTACAAGGACAAGTATGGGGACTCACGGAAGGTCTCTTGTTTTGCTGCGGTGGCTGCTTGTTTTAAAACGGTAAGATTCTGACATGGTTCACTGTGCTTGTATATCTTGATTTTCTCTAACTAATTTTAGAAGTAGTCTCAAGTCTTGAGTTTTTGTTCCTGTTGGAAAATGTAAGAGGCTAGTAGGCTTTTCAAATACAGTAAAGTTATTTGCTGAATAGGGTCTCCACTGAGGCAAGGCTGGTACAAGAAGCCTTCCAGGTATTTTGTCTTCTGAAGTTTAGGTGTCAAAAGTTTTGAGGCGTTACTCTGTGATGAGGTTTCGCACCGGCGCACAGACTTCAACAGGTTATTAGGAAGCAAAGAGAGGAGTTCCCAACAGGCTCGCTGTGTTTTTGAGTAATGGTGTTATCTTCTCTTGGTAGGCATCCGGGAAAGCTTGTGGGATATTGATGGTGACAGGGCCATGACAGTGACGGTTTTATCACGCACAGTTTATACACTGAACCCAAAACTTTGACATTTCAAGGAGTGTATATTGGGGATTTAGGTACAAGATATTCAAACATAACCTGACAGCCCGACAGGTTTGGTTGGAATCTCCACACCCCGGAATCTCTTCCGAGGATACGAGACGTGCCAAATATCAATTATACCCTCGCTTGTGAATTAAGCGGCAGAAGGATGTTGCTGACATTTGGAGAGTGGCCTTTAAACGTGGATTGCTGCGAGATTTATGCCGATTGGCGATGATGAGACATCACACCCTGCTGCTCCCATGTATACATTTTCCACCAACTTGGCTCCCATCCTTGCGTGTAATTCAGGAGCTGATCATTCCATCCTCCATCTGTTGGAACATGTAGGGGGAATACTGTTTAACACTTGATTACCTTCAATTTAGGGTGCAAGGAGGGGCCACCGCCCAAAAGGTGCCAGCTGGCACAGGTTGGCTGGGGAGCGCTTTCATTTGCTCCGACCTGAATGTAGGAAGGTGGGGGAATTCCTCCTGCCTACAGACCAATTACCTACCAGATTGCCTTGTAGTCGCCGAGTCTGTGGCTCCTGTTAAGCTTTTCTGCGAAAACACCCACCTACACTAGCAGCGTGCAGTGTCATCCCTACGTTGATTAATACCTTAAGGGAGAGGAATGATGGACTGCAACGCGTCGCTGTGAAAAGTGTGGCCGCAGTGAATGGGGGCCTGAGTTTATTGTTCCTCATTCAGTGGAATGCTGGCATGGCTCATTAAGAGTCATTACCGTTGACCTTGCGGTGTTGTGAGATGTTCGTCAGCGTGGTAATTGCCGGTGCTTCTTTGCTGATTGAGTCTCAAGGCCTCCTGAGTAACAGGCCCATCCTCTCACCTGGAGGTGTACATTTCACAGACGTGGGACACTGTCCTAATTTGATATCCTGAAAGTACCTTGCTGGGGTCCAAGGTTACTGTCGAGTGTTTCCTTACAAAATGCTGTTTTTGGTGCACTGTGCACATCTGTTTCTTTGGTTCTGTTACCTCATGGGAGGGGGATACATAAAATTGTGTCCTAATTTGATCCTAAAAAGTAATTAGGTTATTGCGTATTATATTTTCCTGCTGTTTGATGTATTTCTGTGATAATATACAGCTTTTCTAACATGAAATTTGTCTTAAGTTCTCATCTACAAGTATTCTTATTGCCTTGAGTGCTAAGAAGAATTTTGAAAGTCAATAATTTTTCTTCAGAACATCCTTGACAAGTGCTGCTTTTGATTCAAGTACCTGAGATTACATATCCAATTAGTTGGAGACTTGCCATACTAATATGAATTGTTATTGTGTTTCCTCTCTGCAGATATTCCTACTGATTGCTGCTAACTTGACGAGACAGATGTGGCCGCAGTGAGCATCCACCTGACGACGTAACAAGTACTACTGTACATAGCAGGGACCTGAACTGCCCGACAAAGCAATTGCAAGATGGAGAAACGGAGCAAGTACAGATCACGGGGAAGCCTGCCCCGGGACAGGGTTGCTCGCTACAGCTCTTCTGCGGACGTAGTACAGCGAACACAGGTCGTGTGGATATAGTTCTGACGAGACTCTGAAAGCGTACGAGAAATACGGCAAATACGACAAATACAATGACAGATATGACCCTGCTTCTGGGGACAGGACAAGCAGATCTAGTGCAGGTTAGTAACTTTTGCATATTTTGCTTTAACTTTAAAGATTGTTTTTAAAGATGATTTCAAACCTCTGTTATTAGGTAAGTAAACATCAACTTAGGAAAACTTGACCAGCAGCTGAGTAAGATTTGTAGTCATTTTTGTGAAAAACTGAAGAATAAGTTACAGTACTTTATTGCTTAGTTGTAGCTGCAGTTAATTTTCATTAAGATGTTTTGTCTGAGCACCTGCTGGAATCAAAGTAGGATATGCGTTTGTAATCCTGAGCATTCATTTGATGTAATACAACCAGCCAGCACAGCATACCCTAAAAGCTAGTATATTACATCAAAGGGCAGGTATGGCAGTTGATACATAATCCAAATACACCATCCCAGACAATTTTGACAGGTATGGTACATACAAGCCATTCACCCTTTGCCCACCAAATCCCTAGTTTGAAATCACCACGACATTTGTAATATTTCAATGTTTTCTCAAACAGAGGGAGGCGTAATCTCTCCGATATATTTCAACTTCATGAATATTCCACTCAACCCCAGAGGGGCTCTATATTTTTGGTGCGTGCTGGAGAATGGGGAGCGATCCACTTGTAGCAGGCCCTCAATGGGGTGTAATCATGTTCTGGGTCGATCCCGCGAGCCTGTTGGAATCCAAATGGCAGCAGATTTTCCCGGCAATGTTGCCTTGAGTGTGGATCTGCATGTAGATTTGGAGGGGCTTGGGCACGTTGAGCTATGAGAAAGATTTGTTATTGGACTACGAAATGTGATACTGAAAAGATTTTGCGTAGGATAAGCTGTGTGCATTTTCTGTTGTTTTTAACTGGAAGCGCTTTAAGCCTATACCATTTATAAGTTGGGTATTGCAATTGCCTCAGGGTAAGGTAGACCTTAAAAGTACTTTGTAGGATTAAATCATATCTTAATGGACTGAAATATGGACAATTATCTTGTGCAAGATGAAAGCTTTGCTGAAGAAGTACTTTGTTTTACTTAGATATTAGATTGATTTGTTTTATAAATCATGGTTGGTAGGATTTCATCATTTTTGTGCCCGTTTTGCAAAGTAGATGCAGGATTTATGTAAACAGGCAGTAATGATGCTGTTTGAAAAACCATTACAACAAAGCCAAATCATTAACTTGTGGTAGACCAACATTAAACAGTCAATATCAAAGGCATTCAAACAAAGTACTTGGAACATCTGGCAAATGCTCCAGAGGAAAAGGGGCCTCTATCATACCAGCAGCCTTCTCAAAACAAGCCGGCTACCGGCGAAAATCGCCGCCTACTCAAATTTTTGCGCCGGCTACTTTCGTCAAAATTTTCAAATTTTTGCGCCGGCTACTTTCGTCTAAATTTTCAGAAAAACAAGTAAGCTCCGTTACATTTTCTCACAAACTTCACCGGCTCATTTCTTCTGACGAACTTCAGACAAATTTCTGCTAGCTTTCTGGATCTGAAAACTGCTTCTTTCTTAGCCTCCTGTGCAGATTTCTAGAGCACGAGTCAGCGTTTGCTTCTACGAGCGGCCCGCGGCCGGCCAGAGCGGCCGAAACTTTACGGGGGAGGGTCTTGTTCGGGGCTCGAGTTGTATCCGCGGAGCTGTATCGCTCGAGCTAGGCGGAACTTGCTTCGTAAACTCGTTGCTCACGAAAATTATCAAGCCGCTACCTTCCCAACTTCTCCCGGCACTAGTAACATTCCTGCTACAAATAACTAGTACAAATCACGTCAAAAAATATCAAGACATGTATAGAAGCGTGTTCATATCTTTCATACACAGAGACAAATTTTCAAAAACAAATCGCCATCAGCGAGATTTCACAGCTGTTTCATTCATCAAAAGTTCTTGTCGATCGTAAAATGATCACTCATCTGTTGTCTCCACTAGTGTGGCATTTGTAGCTTAATCACGGCTAGCCAAAAATCAGCGTCAAAACCCCGGAATAAAAACACGCACACTCCGCTTCGCTGTACAAAAACAGGAGCTTTCAGGCGCCATCTTGTCATGAATATGAAGTAGCAGCGTGCAATCGACGCTGTGATTGGTTCACCTCACATTACCTGCATTCTGATTGGATAAGCGATGTGGCGAGCAGCCGGCAGCGCGGGAAGATTTTTCTTCGCCGGCAGGCTCTCGCCGGTGAAGAAGAGACACATTTACGCTGCTTTCTACGTTTTTCTACGACTACTAAGCAACATCCTATTAAAGAAATACATAATTAAAAGAATTTTCGGGAAGATGTATATTTCTCTACGTCGATTTTTTGGCCATTTTCTCGTAATTTTCTTGTTCAAGGAACCCGGAAGTCAGTGTACCGGGACGCGGGGTGAATTTCCATAGGGCATTTATGGATCGCACCCCGCTAGAATTAAACCGTCAAAACAGAAACAAAACTTCCAAAAAGCGAAACTGTGACATTTTTTCACATCCCAATGATTATGTTTTCGATCAAATTGACATTTAAATATGCTTTCTTTATTTTTCTGCATTTTGTGGCCGGGCGCAAGGACCGCGCGTAATACGATCGGAGTGGCAAACAATTTTAGTACAGCCTTTTTCCGGAATTATTTGTGCACGAACAGTAAATTTTGGAGCCACAAGATTGCCATAAAAGCTGCTCAGAATGTACCAAAAACGATGTTTAGGGGTCTAATTTTTACGATTTCCTCCGGGGGAGGCCCCCCGGACCCCCCCGACGGAGGGGGCCACCCCCCTCCCGTACCCTCCCCCTGCGAGCCGCTGCGCGGCTCGCTTCGAGCCACTTCGTGGCTCGCCTGCTACTTTTTCTTATCAGCCACCTACTCTAAATTTTTTTGAGAAGGCTGACCAGCCTTTGATTTTCAAAGAATGGGCTTCCATAAAAGCTTTAACCTCCCTCTTCTTTGGCCTTTTTTCTAAAGGGATAGTTTTTGAACTCACCTACGGAGCATGTGGCACACGGGTTTATAAGTCTTATGGGGGCAGGATTTGTCAGACCATACAGGCAATTGCACTGATTGTAGCTTAGTAGATCCGGCCCTCTTAGTCTTTCTTGCATGTTTAATGACTGTGATTAGGGATTGACTGCAGGAGAATGCTGAAGCCCACTCAACATATGGCAGATGAAGCCCCGTCATTGTGCCAGGGACATCGGGTTTTCCAGGCCTCTTCTTGTTGCTGAGGAAACCCGATTGTCATGGAAATATTCTCCCTGACACCAACGTGACCACAAGAGGTCCAACATTTCCTGGCTTGTGGACTCCAGACATTCCAGTTTTTATCTTCTGTGGTTTACAAACTTGAAGTCAATAAAAAAACACTGCCACTTCCCGAGATTTCCCTCCTGGTAATAGATTAAGAATCTCAAGGGGGCACTCAGGAAATAATCGATGATTGTTTTTGTGCTCATCCCCATTTTCAGTAATGGTACATGCCCTATTGTGTGACCTTATTACAGGGTAGGGGGATGGACCAACAACCAGTATTTGTGTAAAGTACACAGGCCAGGACAGTACGCACACATGTGGAGAACACACAAAAACTTGACACAGTTCTGTGCATCCTCACACAACAGTCTCTCCTCTGTGTTGTTGTCTCGTGTGTAGGCACGGATGTGACTCTCACCGCAAACAGCCCACGCAATAGTTCGGACATCGGAGCTGCCTACATTCCAAGCTTTGTCAGCGGAGCAGAGGGTGACGAGGACACAGACGGGGAAAACTTTGACTCCAACTTGGACGAACTCGCTAAGGTTAGTTCTCACTCACAATCACTTCATTAGTCCAGATTCTAGAACACTTTTTCCTTCAGTTGTTTGCACAGTTGATGAGTGCTGTTTGTCTGGTAGCGCCTCTCCAATAGGATTACCCGAAACACTTCCTTTTTGTTAGGTACTCTTGGCCTTACTACACGGAAATTGCACCAAAAATAGCAACCATAGACATGGACCTTTCAGTAGAGCTAAAGTTACTCTCTAAAGAGTTCCTGAAATGCCAGCTAGGCTTGTTTTTTTCTCTATGAGATACTCCTTTTTACTGAAAGGAAATTGTCAAAGAATAACAAACATCAAAATGGAATTTTCATGAAATCCAATGTTTTTCTAGCAACCAGTTTTGAAATGGAAACTAGTCAAGGGAGGAGCCATATGCTGCCTTTTTTCCATCACACAAGAAGAACATGTTGCCTTTCAGTTTGAGCAGCTGCACTTTTTAATCCTTTCATGTACTACAAAACATACAAAAGGCACAAGGGGAAGGCATTCTTTTCAACAGGGAAAACTTGCCACGACAAGTAAAAACAACCAGAAACTCAGGATCAAATAGTTGAAAGTTTTGGTTGGCAAACTTCACTTCTAACTGCCATCAAGGGAAATCATCAACAATGCTTGTTATGTCATTATCTGTGTAACCTGTTTAGCAAACTCTGCTTAATTCACTTATGAAGGTTGTAGCACATGTTCGTGTCAGTGACCCTAATTCCCCGGACCAGAACTAGGACGTCCATACTTTATTGAATTATTTCATCGACAAAAGATTGTAGCAAATGGTTTCTTTTTTTGGAGAAGATTGAAGGGAAATATTATGGATGTCTCACTCCTGTGGGTTGAAAGCTGTAGGCCTTTCTGGAAGACAAATGATCAGATTTTCTTTTCGTGCCGGTGATTTTCTACAAGAGCCGTAAGTGCAGTTATATATCCCACTGGTGGAAACCAGTTCCCGCTAGCTTTCTCCCAACTAGTAGAGAGTAATGGCCTCTCCCATCGCTTCCCGGCCAACTTGGACAACATCCATCACACATGGATAACCCCTGCATTTCACCGCAAGATAAATGGATTTTTTTGACAAGTGTAATTCTTCCTACCGTGCGGGCTTCGTATCTGTTTAGTGCAGCGGGGGAAGACGCACGCCCACCGAGGAACAGACAGACAGTGATAAAGACGTACTCCTGGAACATACGTCAAGAAAGAACTCTTCCACATCATCGGTTTATTGATTGAAGCCCGCTGCGGGCTACAGTGTATAATTTCATGCAACCTCCCTCTCCTCTGACATCAAAGAAAATGTTCTGGATGTGACGGTTCATGAAGTCTTGATTGACAGGGACCCGGCAACTAAACATGTGAGCAATTTCGGCATCATGTCAGAACTTTGCGGTGATCGAACCCCGCTAAAAAAGTTCAATACCTGACATTCCGCCCTTTGTTGATGGTGATGTTAAGTAAACTGAAGCCAGGCACATTTGTACTGTAGTCATTTGCAGCGACCTCTGCAAAGTAACCAAGGGCTGCCCATTCATTTTGTCAGGAAGTGCTTAGTTATGCAAAAGGTATTCCTTTCAAAGTGCCCCGCGTGTTACGCTTGAGTTCTGCCATTTAAAGTAACAGAATCGCAGGAAAGTTTCATCACTTCCGAGTGAATGGAATTTTCCTGCACGTCAAGAGGCTCTTCAGTACTGAAAGTGGGTAAAAGTTACTCATCTGGAAGGAATAATAGTCTCAGTATACGTTAGACTGCGCTTGGGAGTGATGATCTCACTGTAAATATTTGATTGGGTGGCATTAGTGCCTTCCTGTGTACACACCACTGCTTTGTGCGCTTTGTGAGTATCGCGTAAATATCAAACGGCCCACATGTCCTACGTGTGAACACAGGACAATTATACATTTGGCAGCAACACCTCTAGTTTATCAAGAGGTGATTTTTGCTAACAGACCGTGGACGAATCAATATGGCCGAAGCCCTACATAGTCGACTCCCTGCAGGGTCTGTGGGTTTTAAAAGGTAAATGTGAGGCCCTTCGTTTCAAAACGACTGGAAGTATGGGTCTGTATCAAGTCAATTTATCAGCCAGGCCTTTATGCTGGGAAACTACCAGTTCCACATGCTGGCACTTCTGCCCTTTCTCATGCAAATCCGACGAAATTTTGCCAAGAAGTAACCAACCAGTCAAGAGACAGACTGGCAGCAAGATGGCCTACTTGTAGTCTTGTTTGTGATGATATCTCTGTACTCTCACTCTTTCCCTTCTTATGTGTGTACTCTCTTCCCTTGATTCTGCCTCCCATTGAGAAGAAAGGATACATTCAGGTAATGAAGTCCCTTTCTTTTCACTGATGTAAGAGTTATGGTTATGACACCTCAAAGTTGATTAAGACCTGTCTCTGGGTTTGTATTTGGTACCAAATGCACCCCTAAAGACATCAGTTGTTGTAAGCCAGAACATAATTTCCAATTTTACCCATTTACTGCTGTATGATAAAATATGATTGGAGAGGATGTAAGCAGACAGAATTTCTGGCCATTCCAGCTGGTGTAATAACACATAGTGGTAAGCAATTTCGGGAAGTTGAGCCTGCAATACATCATATATTCCATATGGATGAACATATCATTATTTTCCTCTTCATCCCATATGTACATGTAGATAAGGGTCCCAGCTGGTACAAGTGGATCAAACCCATGTCCATAAGTCATTCCTGCTCTTACGTGTATGTGCACTCTCCTATCTTGTTTTCGAGCTTGTCGTACGTCTTTTTTTGTCTCATTTTCGGGCGGAAGCGTACGTGTAGTTTGTCAATTATGCACTTTGTTCACAATTATTCGCCGAGGAGGCTTACTTGCCCTGGACCCACGGTATGCACGTCAATTTATTTCCCTTTTCACTCTGCCGGGGCTCTTACGTCTTTTTGAAGTGTACTGAATTTGTTACTGTCAGAGAGGCTGTGCACTGCGTTTATCTGGATTATGTGGCTACAGATATTATATGCCTGGCCTTCTAGGAATTATAATGAGCTCTGTAGACGTAATACTCAAGTTCCTTGTGAGACAGGCTATTACCAAAGTAATTTCCAAGCCCCTATCACAAGCCTTGCTGCTGCTAGTCACAAGTTTCATCTCTCTTTGTGGTTCTGGGAGATAAAAAGGTAGAGGCGGCAACTGTATTGGAGACTTGCTTCACCAGAATAATTGATTTTCCTCCCTCATTCATACGTTGCTAGCTGGGGCCTGGAGGCTTGACAGAATTTCTGCAGGAGTGGTGTTCAGTTAGAGACGGGCTCCCGGCTGGTTAGGTCAGCAGACTCCGACGTCTTGCTGCTGTTCTTATGTTGTTTCCCGAATCCTCAGTCTTTCTCCCAGACAGTTTCTAAGGCGAGGAAAATCCGTAATTGGAGCCCAAATTGACCAGTTTGCGGGGTGCCCTCAGCAGCCTCATTGTGCTGGTGAGAAGGACACAACAAAAGCCAGCAGTCAGTCTTGCCTCCAGACAAAACTGACGCAGCGCCCTGTTGCTTGGGTAGGTGGGTTTGCGCTGGATATTCAGAATGTTTAACCGACTCGAGGCAGACCGTTGAAGGCGGAGGGAGCGCTACGGTATTTCTTGAGACTGTGAGGTGGCAGGCTGCAACGGTGTCTTGCGTCTTCTCTAGACTTTTGTGATTTCTAGCACTCCTCAGTGGAGTTCCATTCAATATAGAGTGCCTAGCTTTTGATTCTTCTCTCCCTGTCCTGTTGTGTTATTCTAGGTCTTTCCAACCATTGGCTTTATTTCATTTCTTTACAATATCCCTGTCTGAACTGTCATCGTTCCAACATGCATCTTTTAGGGGCTTTCTTGAGGTGTTGACTCCTATTGAAATGTGAAATATGTGAATTTTGCTTGTAGCCTGCGTGTTGGAAGTAGAGTTCTGAGCTGATGGTAATTCTTAAATGAGGTCCCCCTATCCCTCGGAGTATAACAGTTTGGCCAGTGTTGCTGTGTTACTGGTAGTTACTTCAATCCCTTGGATTTCCGTTTGTTTGCATGTATCCATATCATCTTTCCAACATGTGTTAGTGGGATTTTGTTAGATCCTAAACCCTATTGTAATATGTAATGTGGATTTTTCTCTTTTGTAGGCTATGCGCTACTGGGAGCACCAGAACAAAGGCAGCAGCAGCGACCCACTGAGAGACTCTGTCCTGTCCTCGGACACAGAGAACGAGGGGCTGGAGGGCTGTGGCGACCGCATGGCCGATGCAGGTAGCGTTGAAAACATCATCACCTGTGTTTATTGTCGTGAGTTTCGCCATTCGCCATTTTTGGTGGGGTGGTGCGCGGTGGATGTGACAACATACATGTACATGTACCCCTGTTACTGTAGTGTTAGTTTTCAGTGGCAGTACTGTGTATTATATTTTTACCACTTAAAAGTATAGCAATTTGTATGCACAGCAAATCTCAGAGGCTGTCTGAAAAACGGTCAGTCAAAACAGTGAGTCAAGCTATTTTTGCTACCATCTGCAACTTCCAACTGTAAATCAAATTGCTGAATCAAAATGTCACCTTTTCCGGCCTGATTCAAGTCACTGGCAGCACAGCTGCTATATTATTTATATTCCATACTGCTGCATGGAATAACCAGATATTTCTCATTGATTGTCATATATAACAGCTAAGTTTCCCCCTAAGCGTGTGAGCCCAGTCGATAGCGAATATGTCTGAGTTGCAGTTTTTGTTACCCATCAAATTATGAAGCACTGCTTTAGGCTATCATTTGTTCATTGCAAAATGTGCTCATATTCAACCTGTTGGGATCCCTCCCTTGGGTATATGTGACACCCACAAGGATACTGTACTGTCTTAGGCCACATCAAGATATTTCCTTGGTTTGCAGACATTCTAAGCTAAAAATTAAACCGGGCCTCCTAGGGCCTTCGACTCTAAGAGGAAAAGAATGTTAACCTTGTAATTATATGTACCAAGGCATAAACTTGGCCCTCTGTGTTTTTCTGTTAACTTAAATTCTGTTAATCTCAGGACTGACCAATTGAATTAGTGTGGCCATACAAGAGGACTGTAGTGTGTTATAGAGAGCCCTTTCGTTTGTTCTGTTTTTAGCAAACATTTCAACCACCTGCGCCCATACACAAATATAGAAAGTGAGCACAAGCACTTATTACGTACTGATTTTGTCGTTTCCCTGAGTTACATAATGCTTTTGCTAATCCAAATAAGCTGAAGTGAATTAGTAGTTACAACAAATACAGAGAGGAATGGGGAAACACTCCAGTTGTCAAATACTAGCACCTAAAGCCAAAACTCCAATATTTACATGAAGAAAAGAGCAACCACTGTGGTACTTAAGTATGCGTATAAGCACCACTGGGACTGTATTGTCACCTTTACAAGCATCTATGAGGTATGTGTAGTGCTTTACACTTTCTCTGGTCCATACCAGAAAATCAGCCTTTGTGGCACTACAAATTCATAACATCTAGAATTCCAGATGTTTGACGATAAATACTTGATTGGCGTGAATTGCCGTTATGAATTGCCAGCTGGCATTTCTAATTCGGAAATCAAACCATTGAAAGGAAACCTGCACATATTCAAAGGGGGACAATGTCTGCAACGATCAATTTAGCATGGTTGGGACATGTGTGGGCTTGTCATGGGCTAAAATGAGAGAGATTTAGGTTGTAATTGTCAAGGCATTAGGACTGACAGGGGCTGGCAAAGCTAGATGGATGCCTGGAAATCAGGATGCAAATGTTTGTGGGTGGATAATGATCCATCATGGGGATAGCGACCACACGAGACGAGGGTGCCGCGCTGCACCATGAATATTCAGGGCCTTGCCGTATCAATGCTCGGCAGCGGCCATGTAATGGCGTGTGTAATCACGTATGTGCGGAACATTTCTCAACATTAGATTGATTTGGCTGCGGCGGAATATTTCACGTGAGAGTGTATACAACACTTTTGCAACACCTGGTGCCCGCGTTGTGATACATACATCACCGGCCGCGGCACGGGAGAAACCCTAATCCCCGGTGTGTGCGCAGATGCCAGTTTGATAATGCCGTCTAACCCTTGGGAACTTAGTTATAAATCCAATTTGGAAGATGCACGGCGGCACGAAAATACACCCCGCAACCTGCCGTCATATTTTAGCGGGATCTTAGCTGATTTCCCTTCCCATTCTTGTGATGTACGGCCATTTTGTGCGCTCTAAATGACATTGTAATGTCAAATGTAAATTGCTACGGGGAGGATTTGTTCGTAACCCGCCAAAGTCGGACAGAATGCACAATACCTATTGCTGCTTAGCATCTCCGGGGACCCATAATAAGAGCAAGTTCATTAAAATGATTGCCGAGTTATGATGGTAACATCGTAAATAGCACAAAGTGGAGATCATTATTTTGCGTAATGGCCCCGGCACAGCGGAAAATGGACAACTTGCTGCACTGCGCGGACATCCCCCGGGACTGACAATTTATCTGGAAGTGAATTAAATTCAGCGTGATGTGTTGTAGTCAAGCTGGGACACCTGTTGTGAGATGGTCGAGTGAGCGTACTGTAGTTAAATTTCCTGTATTCTGTTAAGTTTTGTTGCTCAAAAAATTGTTGTGTACAGGGGTCTGATAACATTTTAGTAGCAATTTCAAGGAATTGGGAATTACATACCCAGGACCTTGACTGTGGTAATTCTCTGGGACTGCAAGATGCAGTTGACTTTGCTCTGTTCTGTTTTAAGCTTTTATTACTCAAAGAAAATGTGATTGTTATCTATCATTTGTGAATTAAACTCCAGAGATCTTTGCTGTGATATTCCTTTTGGGTGGTGCGTGGGCACAGAGATGTATTAAACTTTTGTCTTATTTGTTGTAAGCTTTTATACTAGTTTCAAGAACTATCATTATCTACCAATTGTGAGGTAAATCAGTAGATGCCAAGAATTTTGGCCATCAGAAATACCTAGGGAGTTAACAGGAACTACAAAATGCACTTGACTTTAGTCTCCTTGGTTATAAGCTTTTAGTAGATTCAGGTAAAATGCAATTATTATGTAATTGAATTGTGAATTAAACACCAGGGTTGGCTGTAATATTCCATTTGGGTCTTGCAGGGACCACAAATTGAACTTGACTCTAGTCTCCATGGCTATAAGCTTTTAGTAATTTCAAGGAAATGCAATCATTATCTTCCCATTGTGAATCAATCACCTGGGATCTCTGCTCCGAGGTTCATTTTTGGTCGTGAGAATTGGGTTCTTAATGGAGGATCACGCTGTGCTGAGCTCAGCAGTAAGGAACATAAATGAATACATGATTACTTCTTGATATGTAGGCGGTATTAAGAAAACATAGGCTGCCACTGGAAACTGACAAGGATATGTACAAATGCAATATTGTATGCCGGAGGGTAAGGTAAGGTAGGTGGATGTGTAATAGATGGTGGATTGGAGGCAACATAAGGGGGAAATTCTTGAATCAGTACAAGCACATTTTTGTGGTTTCTTAAGGACATACTAATGATGTCACACCAAATCATTTCATTGATGCTGATGAATTAATGTTTTTGGATATGTTTGGTCTTCAAAATGTTGGTGCTGGTCTCCTCTTCCTCTTGCATATGCCTTTTTCATGTGAGTTGTTGTACAACTGATGAAGTCAACCTGTGTGGATACTAATGTCTTTTTGCTCTATTTTATGCAATCTGGGAACATCCAGGAAGTAAGCTGTGCTTTCCTGCATTCAGTTGATAAACTTGCCTGCTAGTAGCTTTCGTAAGGTGTATGCTTTGTCTCCTGCAAATTTGCATGTACACAGTGGTCATGTTCAAGTTTGCATCTGACAAATTAAGGTCTTCTTCTTGTCGGTTTTCCAAGGATTATTGGCGAAAGTGCCTCCTCAGATTTTCATCTCAGTGACCAGTGTTTTCTGGTGTAACAAGCAAGGATATACCCCTGGCTAGAATATACCTAGATACATGAATATCCAGGAGTATATTTTGGCCTACTACACTGGTTCAGTATTGAAATTATTGGTGGCATGTACAAGGTAGACTGTACTGTGAAGAATGTATGGAAATTCAAATACTCTTCGCTCATGGCTGAATCCTTTCCTCCGCAGGTCTCCCTTCATCACCCAGTGGTCCAACAGAGCTGGCTTCCCCAGTATCTAGAACCTCCACACCCTCCCCAAACCCTGGGGATACTCCCCACAGCATGTCAGGTAAGGACTCCTGATTTTTCAATTTTGCATGTACGATTATTAAAAAACCTTTGGAAGCTTGAGTTTACTTGAGAACCGTTCACATAAATCAGCCAGTTGTGCTCATCCCAGAAATCCGTGATCATTACAAATGGGGTATCATTTCAAGGGGAAATGAACAAGCTTTTAAGTAATAAAAAAACACAATGCTATACATAAAGGAACAACAGATATTTGATAAGCTAAACCCAGAGTTTCTCAACTTTTTTGTGTTTTGAGGTTTAGATATTCATATTCAACTTCAAGCAGAGGTCTTACATTTTAAAAGCAACTTGTAACAACTATCGCCCTTCATCTATCAGATGACCTTTATCCATCAGTTTCCAGCCATTTTGTCCGATGATCGAACGGACCCTCAAGCAATTTTTCAGAAAATGATGGATTTAGGTCATCATGACAGAGAAAGGTCAATGACTGTTACACAAATGATCGCTTAACAGAAGACCCCCCTCTCCTCCACAATAAAAGGATTTATCAGTTTCTAACGGGGAGTTATGTGGCTGTATTGATCTGTGCATTGATTGATACCTATTGATTTTTCAGGGGAAATTGCTCGCAATACAAACTACTCGGAGAGCGAGGACGAGTTTGAGGGGTCATTCCTGGTCCAGACAGCGTCGGGGAATGTCTACGTGCCAACCTCCTGTAAGTGTACGTGGTGCAACTTTCTTCATCTATTATCTTATAATGTCTAGCAGTTATGTCTTTAGGCTAGGGTGGTAGCTTGCTTTTTTCAGGTGTTCTACCAGTTATATATGTAACAGCTTATGTAACAAACAGCAATTACTTGCAATAATGTAGAAGTTCTGAGAGTTTGGTCGTGGGAGGGAAAATGAAAGCTCTGGCAGCCATTTCTTGTAGGCTCCCTGTGCTAAGACTACATTATTGCCAATAGTGAAGAGATGATGATGCCTACAAAGCCCACCCTCAAGCCTCAAAGTTCCGGTGCTCTAAAAGCTATGTCTCTCCCCTCATGACTTTAACCACTGCGCCAACGACAAACCAACCCTTGGCAAAATCCCTGGCCCTTTGACAGGCCAATTGGTCCTGCCATTTCTACTTGATGCCTGTCATTAGAGCAGACATTAAGTTTGGTGCCGACCACGAGCTTTCAGGGGATCAGATAGGACACAAGTACTACCAGGAGCTCTTCTTCGCTTTTCTCCTGCATTATCAGAAATCAAAGTGCTCTCCAGGCGGACATCGCGGCTTTAAGTAAAGGGTATCTACCGCTCCCAGGTTGGCATCTCCCATCTGATATTTCCGTCTTGGTTGACAGTCGAAGGTTGTGCCTCGAGCGCAGGACTCTGTGTGGCACTCCTCATCAAAAGGGATCTTAGAGATGCAGTCATGAATTTCAGACGAGACTCGCTCTGTTATTCATGACCAGGAGGACGGAACAAAGCAGACGCCGTCATGGCTGGAAGTAAAGGGTATCTAAGATTCTAACCCTCCCAGGCTAGCATCTTCCCTGCCACTTCCATCTCTCCTTACTTCACATGTGCCAGATGTGCCCTGGGTGCTGGACCCTTTTTGGCTTTCCTTATCAAAAGGGATCCCAGAGCTGCCTCAAGGGTTTTCAGAAGAGAACCCTTTTATAATATTCAGAAGAAAGGAACGGAGAGGAAGTCACCATAGAGAAGGATGCACAAACTTAGTGCTGTAAATGGAAGCACACAAGGGCAGATATGACATGTCAGAGCATGGAGTAGATAACAGCTGAAGAGTTACTTAGCCATTTCCAGTATAGAGTTTTCTGTGTTCTTCCATTATCCATATCAGGCTTTGGAAGGAAAAAGTTGTTGAGATATGCAGCCAGCAAGATGATCAAAATCAACTTTTCTGTACCATGACATGTTAAGTGAGGCATGCAGGAAAATGTATGCCAAACTCTTGTGGGCTGGTGGACGAAACTTTCCTGTGATTTGAAAAATATCTGATAAGTGCTTCTGGGGATGATGAGCCTGCCAGAAATGTATTTTTGTACATTTCAACCAGCAGCAAATGAGAGAGATAAGAGATGTTACGACCTCGGAGGTTTATCTTGTCGTTATCTCACCGTCAACAACTCCCCTCAGTGCTCTCCTCCACAAAAATCTCATAAATATAGAAGGAAGCACAGGCAAAAATGAGACATGAAAATGATAAAGCAGAATCATAAATCAAACTGACAACCGCTGGAACCTCCATGCTCTGATAAAAGGGTAGTCCTGTATCCAGTCATTATGGAACTTTTAGTACCTGTCCAGGAATAAAGATCTGCCGACGAATAAAACGTCAGTTCGCATTCTCTCGGCCCGCTCAGGTGCCAATGTTTCTCCATCCTTCATAAAACATCCAGGGAAGGTGCCAATACCTCCTTATTGATCACCCGTGAGCATGGCCCCCAATACATTGTTATGACATTTAGCCAATAACTCGGTATGCATGGCGGTGCCGGAGTTGCCACTCTAAAGACGTCCTCCAATATTTTAGAGTCTGCTGGGATTGGGGACATCAAGACGGAATCTATTCCGTCGGATTAGCCGTGTTCGAGTGGGTTTCTCTTGATGCGAGATGAAAGCCGCACCTTGAGCATTTTGCAAATTGTCTTGCTGCTGTTGTTTGTCACAGTGCCTGACCAGGAGGGCTCGTGTCGAGCGCAGGAGGCTGATCAGACGTCCACACGGAGAGAAGAGCCCGCATCAGGAGAGGGCGACGTCCACTGGGCCCCAGACCCGCCAGACAGGTGAGTGGAAACTCAGCTCATGCAGAAACTAAGTTTAGTACTAAGCACTGGATTCAATGCCAAGTTTTTGTAGTCATTACTCTACTGTCTACGGACCAATTTATTTCCTTGGTTCCGTCACATTTTAAAGTACAAATTTAACAAAAGGGACTAAATGAAAACAGAGGGCAAGGTGGAAAACTTAAATCGAACTAGATTCACTCCCTGAATATTCAAGCAACTGAATATGATTTCACAAATGGTCAGACCTTTCATCAGTGGAGTGGAAACTTAGCTCATGTACATGTAGAAACTGATTAGCTCATGTAGCCACCTACTTATTTGGGTAGGCAAAAGTACCCAGCCATTTGTATAAGCCTGCTCGCATAACTGTGCAATGACTTGATTGATAAGGTTAGCATTAAGAGCGAGCTCTCAAGAAATCTACAATTCACCAGACAGGCATTATATAGCATCTCCTGTAGGACAGGGAGCTTTTGAGACTTGTACTTGGGTTTTAGGCTGCTTGAATTTATTCCCTTGGTTTCAGATATTTTACTTCTAGAGGAGAAATTTATCAATAGGTCAAGATGAAAACAGAAGGCTAGGAGAAAAATATGATTTTTTCTTTAGTCACTTCCCAAAATTGTGTGTATCAAGGTAACATATCTTCCTCCTAAACTATACTGTCATTTTGATCTTCCAGTCCAGTATTACTTCCGTAAATACTATAGGCAACAAATTGAATTGTTGTGGCCTTTAAAGATCCCTCAAAGAGACAGTTAGCTCTTTAGACTTGTACTTGGGTTTTAGAATGGAATCAAACACAAATGAGGCACAATTCCCCTCGGAGAATAGAGAGTGGGTTGGTATTGGAGTAGTTGTGCCGTTGTTTTATTGATTGCTCATCCATTACGGAGCCAGCTCTCCGACATTGATTCCTAGGCTCTTTGTCTATGTCGAAAGGTCTATTACGCCCCAATCTTCATTAAGGAAATGTGGCTGCCGGTGAGACTTTAGATCTCGCGGAGCGTAATCAATCTCCTTGCCTCCCACACCTGCCTTACAAGGAGTCTTGTTTCTGGGAAGGGAAAAACGAAGGTTAACATACCTGTATTGATTTTCACGTTTGGTAATGAAAGTTGACACACCGCTAGCACTTAGTGTGACATCTTTGCTCACAACTGTCGATGTGTGTCTGTGGGTGTTAACCTCGCTGGACTGTCACATTACTTCAGTGCTACCATGACATGCTCTACAACCACAGGAAAATCTGTCTTCAGTTTATACTTAATACAAAATTGCCAGTTTGTTTTGTATTAAATTTCTTACTTCTAGGATTTTGAAAAGAACCATGCCAACCTGTCTGAGGGAAAGTCTGTTCCTTCATACACATAATGTTCAGATGGTCCCACCATATGACGGAATTGGCACGAAAACTCTCGCGAGACTTTGCGTCTCCAACACGTGACCCCGCAGAGAGCGTGTCGGGACATGAACGGACAATCTTCATTCTACAGTTTGCCACGCAGCGCTGCAGTACCGGAGCTTTTATTCAAGGCTTTCTACGAGACCTGTGTTTTTTTTATCTGATACTCTTGCTTTACTTTACCTTAATATATCTAACAACCAAGGAAGTAAATTTACATGGCCTTAACAGTTGTTCTCTAAATGTATGTGTTATCAAACAGTCACAGTCATTACTTCTGGATTGCTTTGCCGCGTGCTCCGCAAATTCGTTTCCTCAACCACCACATTGATCTCTCCTCAATTTGTTCTCCTCCCCAAAATTGCCCGTGCATTTGCTGCCATGATGACGTGCACCTTAGTGCTCTTAAATTGAGTTGGCAACCACCCAACATATATATATTGGGGCTCCAGTGTTACAATTGCTTTTTCCCTGCTCAGGAGATTGCTTTACATGAAACATATCCCCCCTGTCGATACTCCGCAGGCAACAGTTCCTGTACCACGCTGACACCGTCGGCTCCTCGGCGGCCGTACCACTACCACCCTACTCCCTGTACCCGAACGAGAGGCCGGTTTCTCTCACGTCCACGAGCACCTTCAAGATGAAGCGCCCGTACCGGTGCAACTGGCGGTGTGCTGCCATCGTCTTCATGGTGGTGTCCTTCCTCCTGGCTGCTCTACTGGCTTACTTCTTAGGTACGTATGGATCAATGATTGAAAGACCTTTATTGTACATTTATTTCCTTATAAGCTTATATGTACAGGTCATGAGAAGAATACAGCAAAAACACTTAAACTATACATACTAATGTGATGAAGTTACACCTGTACTAGTGACCGCCTCATTATGACAACTTGTTGGTCATCCTTAAAACCAGATCATTTTTTCCAGTGAGCCCAGTTTTAAAATTCTGTCCACTGTGAAAAAGGTATTTTTATTCCCTCAAGTTGTCAATATAGACAGGCTTGATAAATGGAAATTCTAGGTGTAATTTTAAGTTTTGCAGTTTTTCTCCTCTGGACATGCATTGATACAATGTGAAGGAAACACATGCCAAACAATCAGAAAAGTAGTACATAGTATATAATGTGCCCAGGGCCAGCCATGGAGGCTATCATCCTGTGTCATGGCGTCAGTGTGAGTGACCCTTTTAGTAGTAAGACCACTCATGTCCTCTTGAATCAGTTCTGGCTCGGTGGAGTTAAAACATCTCCCAGCAGGAGCTGGGCTTCATTTTATGCATTATGTATAAAGATTTGCAAGAAACACGCACACAAAAACGTAATACCAAAGTATGGTTGATACGTAAATCCAGTTCCCAACCCAAAATGTATTTATTCTAGTTTGTAAGTTGTGTCAGCTTAATGTACTAAGGGGGATGAGTACAAATGTAAGAGAAGTTTGATGAAATATACATGCACACTCTCAAAGACATTACCAAAGTACTAGTATTGGTAGAAAAGGGTCTTAACTCAAAACACATTCATCCTATTTCCGTGAATTTTGTCAGTCTAATGCACCAAATAGGATATGTAAGAGACCATTATGTATGTCTATATCTGATTCTATTTGCTGAGGCCATAAGTGCCCTGATGGCTCCAAGGGTATCACAGGTCTTTTCCAGACCCTCTCCACGGCCCATTTATATTTTCCCCGAAGCCTATACAAGATCCCAGGCCGCGTATTAATGCCTGTAAATGTGCTGATATGCACTGCGCCCCTTCCCCATTCCTCCCTCCCAAAACACTCTAATGCACACCATGGTTTATTCATGAGTGCCCCCTGGCCAGGGGATCGTGAAGTGCATCAGCCTGCCTTAAATGGTTTTACTGCTGTCCAGACTTTTTGTCCGTATCATTTTTGGGAAACCATTAGGGCTTTAAAGTCCAGGAAGATATTAAGTCCAGAGCATTCCCATAACCCACTGGCTACAAAGTGGTGGAGCGACTGTTTTCCTTTCATCATGGCAGGATATCTCTAAAGTGCAAGCTGATCTAAACAACATCCATTTGGAGGAATGAAAGGAAATTGACAAGAGTCCAGTGATTAGTGACCCTGCCTCTGGACTAAAAGGTTAAGAGTTCAAATCCCGGCTGTTGTTGCTTATAACCCATTCGCATACTACTGAAAGGGGTTGCTGTACTTGTCGTAAGCTAGGATGTGTTGCTGAGCCATGGTCCAGTGTTTGTTCATTGTGTTTATTCTTTTGGGAATTTTTGCTCCATGAGGGTCAATATACATTGGGATAGTGTGGTTTCAACTCCCTCAATGTAGACTTTGAAAAATCAGGTTTCCAAGCCCTAAAAATAATACATAATTCTCTCTATGTATCTGTAACAACACACAATTCAGCCCTGTGGGCTGCCAGCTGTTTATTTGAAATAATCCAATTATTAAAAACAGCACTGGATGCCTTTAACATCGCACCCTGTCTTTCTTGTCCACACCAGAGTAAAATGTCAACAATTTAGGCTGAATCAAGATTTATATCCTATTTTATTCATGCTTAACCAATTCGCATACCACTGAAAAGGGTTGCTGTACTTGTCCTAAGTAAGGATGTGTTGCTTCACTTAACATAGCACCTCATCTTTCTGGTTCATACCAGAGTAAAATTCCAACAAGTTAGCTGAATCAAGATTTATATCCTATTTTGTTCATTTTTCCTTCCAGCGATGAGGCTGTTTGCGCTGAACTGGTCGCTGCAGCCGGACACCCAGCTGGTGAACCCTGTGAACGGTATGGACCACACAGAAGACCCCAAGCCACTCTACACACCAGGGACGGGTAGGGGTCTTGATTAGCATTCAGGGCAGGAAATCCTTTTTTTTTGTCTTCTGCAAAAATTTCAAAAGTTGCCAACATTCAACTTGCAGGAAATTCTGATTTTTTTCTGTCTTCTTGAACATCAAAGTTTAGAATATTCTACCCAATTTTTTTTTCACTTGAGCCAAGGCATGCCCGCAAAAAACTTTGTGAAAACAATTAGCTGATCTCTAAGTTATACTGTTAACCAACCAACTAACCAGCAGGTTTTGCTTAAAAAAATGTCCTTGACAGAGGCAACAGCAAACCCGCCTCCCAATTTATTCCAATTTGATTTCCTAGTCATTTTCAAAAGCAGATTTCCTAGAGTCAAACCCATTCCAACTTCTGCAGTTCTAACAGGTGGCCTTGATACTGTCCTTGGTGCTGATTGGCTAGCTATTCTTTGATTTGGTTCATTTTTCTGCCATGCATTGACAATTAACTTCAGATTTTACCAATCACATTTCCATTAGCTGTGTCAAATAGATACTCACTGGCGTGACCGATTTTTATTTTTCAGGCACTGGATTGATACCGACGAGACAGCCGAACGTGAATGCACTACCAGAGGACGTGATTACGGGGCTGGTCCCCGTGGGGGGTAACGTGGAAGAGACGGTGCCGCCGTTTGCGTTCTGGCGGTCACAGCTGTACCTCAAGCAGCCCAGATACATCATGTACAACGTGTCCATGTCTTCCGACGCCAAACTGGGCATCTACGCCCGCAAGGATTCTCTCCCCACCCACACCCAGGTACTACATTGGTATTCGTGTTGAACTACAGATGTTGGCTGCTTTAAGAGCCTCCATCCCTCATCTTTTCTTTTAAACCAACGATCTTTTACTTTGACACACGGAGAAACTTACATTCTTGATAAAAAATTGTCAATGAAATTGAACCAACCATCACGTCTGTTCCTACATTTTTACCTGAACTAAGTATTGAGAAGTTGTCCCTGAATATTAACTATCTACCAGTGACGTAGCCTGGAGTCCAGCTTTGTCCACTCCCCAAGACTACAGGCTACCAGGGACTTTCTGTTACAATGACATGTATTGATTGATTGACATGTACCCACTGAAGATGGAATAAAGGTCTTTCAGTTATATTTTTGTGTACAATTTCCCTCCCTTTAGTTTGATTTTGCTGAGATGATGGACGGCAGCCACATCGTTGTGCCTTCTGGTCGCCGGCGTCGAGCGTCAGAAGTCCGGCGGCAGAGCGGGTTTGTGCAGTACATGGGAGCCGGACAGTGGCATATGGCTGTGTTCAACGACGGGCCACAGCCGCAGAAGGTATGTTTGTTTACCTCTATTGGTCTACTAGTATAGCATATTTATTCCCAAGCTTTGCTTGAATTTTCCTAAAATGGCCTCTTCTGTAAATTTGATGATATTATGATTAAAAAAAAGGAAAATGTTGATTATTTCCCTCAAACATGACTTGACTGATTTTTCTACTTTCCAGAGATAAAACAGTTGGTTTATCTTTAAGCTTTTTGGGGGCAGGGTAAAGTATATACACTTGTTGATCTCTTTACAAACTTGTTATTACGTACCCGAAGGTCCTGCTGAACAACAAGATCACTGACAACCCGGCCGAGTGTCCAGCAGAGTGCAATGGCAACGGGGAGTGCATCACAGGGATCTGTCAGTGCTACCCTGGCTACATGGGCAAGGACTGTGCACATGGTAAAAACAACATGGACTAAGTACTGCTTTAAGGCCTTGTCGATTTAAGTTGTTGGGTTTCAAAATCAGAAACATAAGAACTTGGTCTGAGTAGGATATATGTTCTTTGAATTGGTTTATGTAGATAGAGGGAGTAAATATAGTCACAGTCAAGTTTACCTTTCAGGAGAAGTGTGGTGGGTAGACGCTGATACAGATATCTAATAAAAAGTATTGAATAATTCATTCACTTGGATCTGTACTATACCTTTCCAGCTGTATGTCCAGTGATCTGCAGTGGGAATGGTCAGTACCACAACGGCCAGTGTGTGTGCACGGCCGGGTACAAGGGACCTGACTGTAACGTGCCTCCGAACCAGTGCCTCGCCCCGGACTGCAGCGGACACGGAGACTGCATCGGCGGGCAGTGTCGCTGTGAGCCTGGATGGACAGGGGAAGACTGCAGCAAACGTGAGTTTAGTTTTATCGTGCACAAAAATATTTTTTCTTCAAACTTGACTTATGTATGTTTGGGTCGGCTGTTATCTAATATTCTAAATCGTTAAATATTCATGGGGATGTTATGTTTGCTGTTTTCTCTCACCAAAAACTCATGATATGTTCTGTCATGCTTTGCTTAGTTCCAACCGTGAAGTTGTTTTTTTCACAATTTTGTCCATAGTGACCTGTGAAGACCCCGACTGTACGAACCACGGCATCTGCATGGACGGGAAGTGCTTCTGCGAGTCGGGGTGGACGGGAATCAACTGCGAGAAGGAGGACAACGTCATCTGCCCCTCGGAGCACTGCTCGGGACACGGCACATTCGTGGACGATCCCGGCGTGTGTGTCTGCGAGGAGAACTGGACTGGGCAGGACTGCTCACAGAGTACGTAGGAACTACATGTGTATGAATATGGTGGTCTATTTTTGTTGGAATTATTACCATGCATATTTAGTGACGTGTACTGTGAAAGTGGAAGACAAAATAGAGGAAGACAGAATGATAGTTTTAAATTGTATGACTACATATTTCAAGAACATTCAGGGAAGTGCCCATTTATGTACGGATAGAATTGGTCTTTATCTTTTTATTAGGTTTTGCTCTTCATCTATTGACTAAGATCACATCCTTTACTTCTGATACAAAGGCAAAATAATGTGGGTTGTTGTCAATGTTGACATAGCTCATTTAAACAGAGCCAGTCCTAACGTCATAACATAAAGACCTTACCATGACAGATTAAATATACATGTATATTTTTATGAGGTGATTAACTGATTGATTGACATGACCTTTGCCCTGCCCAGGTGTGTGTCCGGTGCACTGTGGTCCCCACGGCTTGTGTTCCAGCGGCAGGTGTGTTTGTGACGAGGGGTGGGGAGGGGAGACCTGCGAGGATCAGGCGTGTTTCGCCGACTGTAACAACCACGGGACGTGCGAGGATGGCAACTGTGTGTGCGATCAGGGCTGGAACGGACCATACTGCGGCACAGGTGAGACCTTCTGTACCAATGTACCCATCAGGTGACGCCAACTCATTTCCTTGGTTCTTGGACTCGTTTGATTGAAAATTTAGCGAGAACACAGCAGGAAAACAGGGCTGGGAGGAACATTTGAAACATCTGAAACTTCGTGAAGCAATTAAAAGACTTAAACCTCAGACCCAGCATTCAAGTGTAAGTTCTAGTGTAGCATGGTGGTACAAATCCAAGAACCAACAAATTCAATTGGTGTAGCCTCAGCTGATCCCATTGTTGGGATTCAGTTGTCCATTGCTGTTGCTAGGAATGGGTTGGTGAAACATCTTGTGAAGTGTGTTATGTCTGTGTCTTGTGAAGCTGTCTCAGCAGCGCTACCTTGTCATCTCTGTCAGTACTGCAGTTCATTTTGCTGTTCAATGTTTTGGTTGTGTCCTGTGTTGTCCATCCTACGTTTTGTGCTCCCATTCCACAGCTAACTGGCACTTTTCCTGCATGTATGTCTCTGTTGCACAGCCTGGCCATTTGCCATCCTTCCTGTCATATTCCCTTTGGTGACTAACCAAACTGACTTGTAGTCTTACTGTAGTTTTGTGCTCAAGCTTTGGTCTCGCCTGTTCTGTCTTTCTCCTGTCTTCCATCTCTGTGGTGTCCTTTTTTTAGGTCTGTTCTTTCAAGGATTAGTCATCAGGCCTTCCAGTAAGTCTGTCCCAGGGATAAAGTAACTCTAAAACTTCCTGTCTATGTTTAGAACTTTTCTATCTTGTCTGTACATGTGTATTATTTCCATTATGAGGAGGCTTCCATCACTTGTTAAGGTTGATTGGTGTATGTAATACGCTACCTTGATATCCTGTCTATCCCAATGTTGTCAAACCTTCTCTGTCAGGCAAATGTTTCTTACTGGATATTTTTTTCTATCATTAGCTTATGAGATATCTGTGAAATAATCACATAATGTTGCAATTCAGCACAGGAGTATGGTCCTTCCAACTTATATTTTAGTTTTGACTGTATTTTTAATGGTTCATATTTGCACTACCTGTACATCCTGCACTGTTGCATTCCAACTGAAAGCATTTTATAACCATTATTTGCCCATGTGATTTGATTCAATTGTGCTGCTTTCTTCTTGTATATTGTCCCTTTTTAGTGCACGATATTACATATTTCTAGCATATTGCTAAGTGTTGTATTTGTTTCCATTGATTAGAGGGGTGCCCAGGCCTGTGTAACAGCCACGGAACATGCCAGTACAGCGGCGGGGAGTGGCAGTGTGTGTGTCATGATGGGTACCGTGGTCTGGCCTGCGACTTTGCACTGGAGACGGAGTGCAATGACAGACAAGACAACGATGCAGGTTTGTGACTCATCCGTATATGTACATGCAGATGTGAGACATAAATGGAAAATAACTCTTCTCAAAGCTCTCTAAGTTCCTGCACTCCTGTCTTTAACTTCAAGTAAGTTACTACACTACTGTCCCAAAGTTTAAGTATTTAAGTTCCTGCACTCCTGTCTTATAGAGAGAATATGTTTTGATTTTTTTAGTCAAAATATAGAACATACAGTGTAGTGAGCTAAGTTCCTGACTCAATGTTTCCAGATGGTTTGGAGGATTGTGAGGACCCTGACTGCTGCTCCAGCCCTGCCTGCCAGAGGCACTACAACTGTCGCCCCACGCCCGACCCGGAGGACATCCTCGCCCGCCTGAAGCGAACAGTCAACCCAAGCGACACGTTTTACAGCCGTGTGAGGTTCCTGGTGGAGCCGGACAGCGTCCAGGCCGTCAGCCGGGCCAGGGAGCTTCCCTTTGCAGAAAAGTGAGTACACATGCACAGTGCACTTTCAAAAGGCAACACTGATTCTGTCATTTGCTCTCTGGTTTTATGGAAGTTCACTTACAAGTAGCTTATTGTAGCTTTAAAGATGTGTACATGTATACTGGCATATGCAAGGCTCTGCTAGGACATTTTAGTCTGTCAATTTTGTTCCTCCACAGATTGGCTGCTTTAGGAAACATTGCAGATGTTAAGTAACGTTAACTGCCTTAGACATCCAATGTTTTTAAAAACATACCTTGTTGTTATCTTCTACAGCTTTGTATCTGTGGTGCGTGGAAGGGTGCTGACAGATGATGGCAGTCCCCTCATGGGAGCAAACATCTCTGTTGTCCGCAACCGCGTCTATGGGTACACACTCAGTCGGCAGGATGGCTGGTAAGTTGCAGGACTCGCAGTTTCCCTTTCTTCATATCACTGCTGAAGGCAACAGTGGTCATTGGAAATTTGATCTCTGTGTAGTCCTTGTGTTGGAATAAAGTTCAACATATTACTATGATTACTGCCAACACAGATGAACTTTCATGACAGATGGTAGGAGTTGAGTCTACTGTTAAAGCTTCATTGTGTTTTAGCTACATTTTCAATTTTTTTTTCCATTCTCCCCAGGTTTGACATCATGGTGAATGGCGGTGGCTCCCTCATGCTGCGTGTGGAGCGCTCCCCGTTCCTCGCCATCCAGAAGATGGTCCACGTTCCTTGGAATGATGTCATCGTCATGGACACCATCACCATGACAACAGGCCTCAGCAGCAGCCGTGAGTCGCGGTGTGACATCAGTGGCGTCGTGTTGCCCAAACCGCTGGTGCTGCCTGCCTGGCCGGGCCGGGATGTGACTCCCTGTGAGGACCAGGGGAACATTGTGCCAGAGATACAGGTGAGAAACACACAAGGTCTAGATTTGTGCAGTTTGTGCAGATATTTGTATAATCTGCGCATGCCACTTAGCAGGTAGTAGTAGTAGTACTGGGGGTATCCAGTCTTCAGGGGAACATTGTGTCGGAGATACAGGTGGGAAACACACGAGATCTAGATTTGTGCAGACATTTGTATAATCCGTGCATTCCACTTAGCAGGTAGTAGTAGTAGCCAGTCTTTGCAGAGGTCTCCTACACGGGTGGGCAGCAGTCGGCTAGTAAGACAATTAAAAAACTGTGCTTCACTGGACTTCAACTGGATTTCACAAATTATTTATTAATCAGAAAATTAACTGCATTTGTACAAAATGTATTAGAATTGTTTCACAAATCATATCAGAGATGTTAAATGTTTATATTTTTTTCCTGTTCCTCTCCAGGCCCTGAAGGAGTCAGTCACCCTGACTGGAACCACCGTCCACATGACCCAGCTCAGTAACCGACAGAACGGGTACAGGACGGTGATCCACGTGCTCCTGACGCCGCCCACCGTGCCTCCCTCCCTGCACAGGATCCACCTGCACGTGGCCATCCAGGGACAGGTGATGGAGAAGGTGTTCAACGCCGAGCCCAACCTGCTGTACCCGCTGTCCTGGGATAGGACAGACGCGTACGGACAGCCGGTGTACGGAGTTGCCACAGCATGGGGTGAGAACACTGCCTTTCAGTTTGTAGTTTGCCTCTATATTGTAGCTTTGGCTATGTATGTTGTATGTGAACAAAGTGCTACAGTCAAAATATGGTAAAGGTCCACAATGACCATGAAGAAAAGCTGAAATTGTACAGAAACCTGGTGAAGAGGTTGGGAAAGTTGTCCTTGTTCCATCTTATGTGTGTATGGTAGCTTTGTAGTTGGGGAGTAATGGGTGAAAATTTGTATTTTTTTTTTATATTACGATAAGGATGTTTAAGCTGTTAGCAGATCCTACTATGGAAGATTTTTCATTGAAGATTTATTAAGAATGACTGGATGGCAAGACTAACTGAACTTCTTGTTGTGTTTCCTTCTCCAGTATCTGTTGGGTTTGAGTATGCTGGATGTTCAGGAACCCTTTGGGAAAAAGTGGTCAGCCAGGTCAAGGGTTATGACATCACCCCACCCGAGCTGGCAGGCTGGTCCCTCAGTCTGCACCACGTGTACGACAACAAACAAGGTAGGGGAAAATTTGACCTTTTCTTTGCAAAGATTCCAAACTCACAAGGCTTGTAGCATACCATGAAGTGACTCTTATCTTCAATGGAATTTGATGTATATCCAGTCACAGGTTAAAATATATTGTATAACTGCTTTCAAAAATATCCTTGATTTAATAAAGTCCATGAAAGTCCATTAAATGTTCCAGCATTTTTAACTTATAGCTGTCCTATTTTTTTCCCATTTAAGGCATTGTGTACAAGGGCACTGGATCCAACATCTACACCGCTGACCGACCAGCCATCATCTCCACGGTGATGGGCACGGGGCATCGGCGGGACTCCTCCTGTGCCGGGTGCGAGGGAAAAGCGACGGCCCTGAAACTGCTGTCCCCCATGGCCCTGGCCGCTGGGATGGACGGCAGCATGTACGTCGGAGACTACAACTATGTCCGCCGAATCGAGCCAGATGGTAATGTTGTCACCATCATGAAGATCAGGTGAGAACTGACTGTTTATGACTTGTATATGAATTGTACTAGTCTGACAGTTTGTGCCTTATTGTTTTGGCAGCACAACTCTAGATACCAGTGAATGTGAATTGTTATAAGCAGAACTGCACTAGCATGATAGTTTGCACCTCATTGTTTTGGTATAGCACAACTCTAGATACATGTACCAGTAATTCTCTCGATGGGAAAGCAGGTTTGGTTTGTTATGATACTTCTTCTACTCGCCAAATGGTTTCAGTGTTAACAGTCTCTTGTGGAAGAGCCAACTATGGGTATACATAGTATGCAATCTGTTGGTTTTTGCCTCTTTATCTTATACATCTTGTCTCTGACTTCTACATCAGGTCGGACCCCCCACAGAAGTACTACATGGCCGTGGACCCGACAGAGGGGACCCTGTACGTGTCGGACAGGAGTTCCCACCAGATCTACCGCGCCCGCTCCCTCACCAACATCCGCAACCCTGACAGGAACATGGAGCTGGTCGCCGGCACTGGCGCACAGTGCCCGCCCATGGACGAGGAAAGGTATGGACAGCCATTTTTGGGAAGTTTGAACTTTAATTCCAACAGCAAAAGGAACCTTGTCATCACCAACAGTTTGACCCAGTCTCCCAAAATTCATACTGGTATATTGATGACTAATTTTATCATGTTTGTTGGCTGAAGGTTGTTTTACCTACCTGTATTTGCTGTCTCAATAACATTGTCTTTTATAAATTGTCAAGCAAGGAATTTTCCCTCAACTGGTACTGACTTCCTCATATGATATGCAAACTTAAAATCTATCTTAAAATCCAAAATAGATGTGGAGATGGCGGTCCAGCCTTGAGAGCGAGGCTCTACAACCCCAAGGGCATCGCTGTGGACAACAAGGGTGTTCTGTACTTCCTGGACGGGACGGCCATCAGGATGATTGACACTGACGGAGTTATCCGTACAGTCCTGAAGAGCCAGAGTCTGGTGGGCAGCGGCACCCCCCTCCCGTGCAAGGGTTCCATCCCTCTTGATCAGGTATACTGTGGGCAGAACATTTTGATCTTTTTGTCCTGATGTTGCTTTTTTTCAAGTGCATCATTCCCAGTTTGGAGGTTTATAATGTGTATGACAAGTTGCTTGTTTGTTTGATATGATTACAGTTTGGGGTCTTTCTGTTCTGAAGTAAACAATAAGATCTTTACTTGATTCATGAAGCTTCATATTGAACAGGGATTATGGTCTCTTTGATGTAAGAGTCCCAGTTTTAGAGTACATGCATATTTGTGAAGAATATCCAAGGCTAAAATCCAAGTCAATGCAGGCATCTTACACAGTGTTGATTTGGTTCCTACGCAGGTCCAACTACAGTGGCCCACGTCTCTGTCCATCAACCCAGTCGACAACTCGCTCTACATCCTGGACAGCGCCGTCGTCCTGCGGGTCTCGGAGAGCCGCCATGCGTCTGTCATTGCCGGGGTTACGAGCAGCTGTCAGACGCGTCCTGGTCACCACCAGGCGCACCGCAGCCAGACACCGCTCGAGTCCCCCAGCGCCATCTCTGTCGGTCCTGACGGCACCCTGTACATCGCGGAAACCGACCTGCGCCACATTCACCAGGTAAGAAAATTTCTTCAATATTTGTAAAAGATTTTCATTACTCAAACACTAATCAATTGAACATTACAGGAATTGTCATATCATACTTGACAATGGTTAAGTGTGATAAACTGCATTCTCTCTTCACACAACATTTACAGTTCTTACATAACAAACTATGTGCAACTTCACAGATCGAATAGAGTCAACTTCATGTTGTAAAAGTTACTGTTCATGTCTCATACTTGACTATGCTTCCACAATGTGATATAACCAGGTACGAAAGGTGCTGCCCGATGGTTCAGTAGTCCTGATGGCAGGAGGGAAGACTGACTGTGACTGCCAGGACGACGACAAGTGCAAGTGCTACGCCGGTGACGACGCCCAGTCCCTCAGCGCCATCCTCAACTCTCCCAGCGCCCTGGCCGTGACGCCGGACGGAACGCTGCACATCGCCGACCAGGGCAACCTCCGCGTACGGATCGTGTCCCGCTTCGTGCCCCAGATGACGTCGGATAACGTGTACGAAGTCGCGTCCTCCGACGGCCAGGAGCTGTACATGTTCAACCAGGCCGGCCAGCACCAGTATACAGAAGACCTGGTGACTGGCATCATCACCTACAACTTTACCTACGACCGGCAGGGCCGTCTGTCTGGAGTGATCGACACTCACGGGAACACGCTTCAGGTAAATTTGGCTCTACATTCAATTCCTTTTTGAAAGTAAATTTGTAATTGTAGCAAAATACAAGAGAACAATTTTACTTTCCATGGCTGAATAGAAAATTCAAGTGGCTCTCTTCCCTATTTTTGGGAATGATGCAACTTTAATTTTACATATCTGTGAACACAAGCATTTAAATCTGCTCTTGCCTTTGCAACACTTAAAGTCATATCTGTATTTGTTTTTGTGTTGTGTATAAACATTATGATAGAGCTATTGATGAGTAGGATTTGTTGGATTGAATGTAACGTTGAGAAAAAACACACACTACCTACAGGTCCACCACGATGCACGCAAGATAATCCTGCTGACCAAGTGGCGACATGGTCTGGAGATGAGCCTGGACGAGAAGGGACGGGTGACCAAGGCGAGCCACACCGACGGCAGGGAGACCAGCTACACCTACTTCAACAGCACAGGGCTGATCACCAGTAGGGAGGACAGGCTGGGGTGGACCAGCTTCTATGAGTAAGGGTCTTAATTTTTTTTTTTCTGTCATATTTATACAGGGTTTCCCACTCAGTTATGACACTGCTTTTCAGTGGGGCCCTGTGTCTCCTCATTATCAAATGACTGCCAGTTTCCTTCATTTCTTCCTGTTGTTAGGTCAAAACTGCAAGAGTCCCCTTGCTCAGTGTTCAAAATAGTTTGTGTGTTCAGCAATGTGTGACTCGTGGGACCAAAGCTTTATTCTCTTGGCTTACCAAAGGGATTTTTCTCGCTTAATTGTGCCTTTATTTCTGACTATCTGAGTTCATTATCTAATTTCTATTGTCATGATAAATGCTTTTTGCTGTCAGGATAATATTATCAGCTTTTGACATGTTGTAAATGATGCATAACAACAAAAAGCAATGTTATTTTGTCAGGTGAACTGGTTATGATAATTCTACCAGGGTTCTCACCATTGTTTTTGCGCTAACCCCCAGGTACAACAGGAATGGCTGGTTACAGAAGGTGGTGTACCCGACTGGGGAGACAGTGAGGCTGAGAGGAGGCGGCGGCCGAACCATGGCCATGGTGGACGTCATACAGAAGAGCGGGGACACCTTGACTCTGACCGCCGACCACAGCACTGGGGCGCTGGCAGCCACACAGGGTAAGGACTGCTCAGAAATGCCACTAGTTGTGAAAAGAAGGACAGATATCCACCTGAAAAATTCCCGTAGCTGCAAAAGACAAACCCTTAAGAACTACAACCCTTTCCCTTCCTTTCTTGCCTATGACCCTATTATAATTGCACACTTCTGGAACTACATTGTAGTTAAGAGTACAGAATAGCTCCAGACAACGTAAACTCTCTCCAGTCCAAAAGTAGAAACTCATATTGCACGTAAGGCTTAGAAATATATGACGAAGACTAGTGCAGCATTGACTACTGTGAAGCAACTAAAATTAAATGGAGACTGTTTTGTAGTTGATCTTTTCTTAAACAGCAGTTCATTTTCCCCTCAGGCCTTCTCCACTCCTCCTCCACCCGTACCCAGGACGGTTCCACCACCATCATGTACCCAGACGGCACTGAGGTCGCCATGGAAACTAGGCCACACCCACTCCTGGGGCCCGACATGCCCGTGCTCGCCAAGCGGAAGATCACCATCTCGCCGGAGCTCGTGAACCGCGTCGAGTGGCGGTGGTTTATCCGTCGGCGAGGCGGGAAACGGAACGACAGGAAGGTTTCGATGGTCGGACGGCGCATCCGGGTATGCCAGCATGACACGCTTAGTTATAGATAAACACCACGCTATTCGCATCCACAGATTCAGTTCTAGTTATAGATAAACATCACGCCATTCGCATCCACAGATTCAGTTTATACAACACGTTTACTTTTTTTTACAATTTCTTTGATTAATTTTTTCCACTGTTTAGTTTTTCTATTGTGTTGTTAATGATTTAGTTTCTTTAGTTTGAGCCTTATGTTTGCTTAGTTTGCCGCACAGTACTAATTTTTAGTTGATATTATTTGTTTGATTTAATTTTATTTAATTTCGTTATTAACCCATCATATCTTAATATCCAATAGGTGGGGGTGTCAAAGACATTTTCTTTTGCGGGGCAACTCTACCCCTTTGAGCTCAAAGTATGTTATGGTTTGTTTTGCTTGATTTGTTACAAGTTTGTAGCTTGGAGTTAGAAGGCATGCCTTCATTTAGAAGATCTACTTATTTCTTTTTCTTTCTTATAGTTCAACTTACCGGTATACCCTGGTTTAAGCCCCACGACCCCCCCACCAGAAACTCACACACATACTTTACCTAACTCATCTTTTTAATCCAGCATGATAAAATCTTCACTCTGTCTAACACTTCTTCCTTAAAGAACAACTATAACTGGGGGTATTTAAGCATGACTATATGGTGGTAAGTGGTGCATAAATGTTACTCTGCAAGTAATGATATGTACATGATACACATTTTGATGATATGAGAATAAGGAATGTGCATATGGTTAAGCTGAACATAACAGGGTCCTAATCTTGGCAATGGTGATGGACTGCATAAGGATAATGCATGGCAAGTATTGTATGTGTGCATGACATGCTTTTGAAATGTATTGTATCCATCCATGTTATGTTGTGTTGTGACTGAAACCTGGAGGTTTTGTTGTGCAATGAAAGCGCGTGAGATGTTGTGATGGATTGAGCTTTGTGTGCAACAGAGCTGTTGTTAACATGCTCAGAAATGCGCTGATTCACCCCAGACCTAACAAAATAATCATAGGAAACCTAAGGCTCAGTATATATAAGAAGGTTCGCTGAAAACACATTCATTTGATATTAGTAGCTACATGTACCTGCTTGTAGTATCTCACTGTATTCTTATGTAGGATTCACATGTGACTAGTATGTTTTAATCTACAAATTTAAAAGAATTACACAGATTTGAAGATGGCACTTGATGTTTTCCTTGACCTATCCAATATCATATTCATCAACTCTCTATTCCTCATTACCACCTGACTTCCCAACTCATTACATTTTTACATCATCAGGGGTTTTTCTAGAAAAATTTAGCATGAGGGAGCAGATCGCAAGCATGGCGAGGAACGAAGTGACCGAGGGGGGATTTTTTAATAAGAGTAACATTCACAAGGGTTCAATTTGAAAATTGGTATGAGGGAGCTGGCTGGTTACATGAGGGAGCAGCTCCCTTATTCCCCTGTTTAGAAAAACCCCTGATCATTAACCAGCCAACAGGACAACCATGTATAGCTACAGTCACTTCATGCTCATTTCCTAAGTAATCATCAGATATAGTATTGTCATCCTGATTAGAGTTTAAACTTTAGTTCATCTCAAGGACTAAGGCTCACAATACAAATTTTTGATTGACTGTTTAGTCTTCTGTATTGTGATGCTTACTGTCCTTGCGCTTGATATGAGTTAAAATTTCAATGTTTTTTACCAATATCACTATGTAGTTCCATCTCATCTTTCACCTCATCAGTCTATCTATGTCATCACAAGGATGGTCAAACGAAAACAACAAGTGCCAATTAATGTGCAGATGATGTTGAAACTAAACTCAACTTTGTTCAGCTTAAACCAAAGAAGTTGACCACGAATCCAAACAATTTCCCTCCTGTAGGACCTGGATGCTGACTTGTATAGCGATGTAGACTTGGACTCCGATTACTATCCTGATTACCCAGATTATACGGATGTAGGTTTAAACACTCTCTGGCATATTACTGCCTTCCCTCTATAACTCTCAGTGGTTTTAAGGTCTTTTCTGTAAATCAGGTGGTTTAAAGTTCACTCAAAACATGGAGACATTCCATCATCGTAAAGAAAAATCATCATTTTAAAACTTTTATTATGTTTCCTTCATTAATTTCTATTTTGTTTTTCAACTTTTGTAAAGTTTTGTTCTTTACCATTTATCATCTTGGCTTAAATGTTTGCTTTGCATGTTGCTTAATGCTTGTTTTGACAACGTTGTTTTGGCATATCTGAGTTTGTTAGTAAAAATAAGCACTTGCTTTTACTTTGGTAAGGCTTAAGTTTATAACTTTTGATTTTAACTGCATACATCTGCCTGCTTTTCCCCCTTAACTGCCTTGGAGAGAGCTAAACAGCTCGGTGTGTCTGGGATTTGGAAGGTAACTTGAATGGTGAAGGGACTTTCGCTTGCACAACTCAATCTCTTGGTCTGCAACGCTCACTCCACTCCGCATGTGTCATCATTACCCCTCTCCTTACGTGTGTTTCCTCCTTTTCGAATCTAGGTGAATGGCATTAACGTGCTGTCTCTGGAATACGACCGGGAGGCCCGTAGCGAGCGCATATACGACGACCACCTCAAGTTCATGTTGACGATCAACTACAACGAAGCCGGCCAGCCCATCAAGTGGGTCTCCAACGACGAGCTCGCTCCGGTGAATGTGTCGTACGACAGCTCAGGTCGGATGACGGGATGGCAGTGGTCGGACATGGTGGAACAGTGGCAGTACGACCGCCAGGGCAGGACCTCTGTTCGCACCGAAGCCGACGGCTTGGCTTGGTCGTACACCTATGAAGTCAGGGGTAATCAGAAGGTGAGGAGGGCTACTCCACAAACTTGTAAAGGCAGAACAGGTCACACATTAAAGAATCAGTCACTTGGTTTAAGAATAAGAGGCTTTGTGAGAATGGAATTCCAATTAAAGAACCTAGATCCCAAAGAATCTGCCATAAGAATTCATGGGATGTTTCGGGGGCAATTGTAGGCATGAATGTTTAACCTTTAAAGTCTTCTTTTTGCTCTACACAGGTTGTTCGGTTGTCCACTCCTGGGAACCGGGAGTACAGCTACTACTACGACTTGGGCGGCCATCTTGCTGCTGTTACCAACCCGAGCAACACCCACCACACTCTGTCCACCCAGCTGTCTGCCACCTCCTACAGGAACACGTACACCGCCCCCGACGGCAAGGTCACATACATGCAGGACTTCAACTACGCCGGGCAGCCTCTGCTCGTCCAGTACCCAAACTCACAGCTACGAGTCGTGTATCGTTATGGATCACGTGGTGAGCTTACGGAGAGACTCCTGGGGGACGTCCGCGTGAAATACGACTACGACGACCGCTCCGGGCGGCTCAACCGCGTCAGCCTGTTGGATGGTAATAATGCATGCATTGTGCGTTACCACCACCTAGGGCCTCTCATCGACCGACAGACCGTACGCTTCGTGGACCAGACTTGGGCTGGCTCCAAGTTCATCTACGAGTACGACACAAACTTCCGGGTCACTTCAGTCAAAGCAGATATCGGGACTGTCTCTCTCCCTGCCATTACCTACAACTACGATCTCACCCTCGGCAAGATGGAGCATTTCGGCTCCTTCGAGGTGATGTACTATGGCAGCGGGCAGATCGTCAGCAACTCCAACATGACACTGACCAAGCAGCTGGACAGGACTGGGCGAGTTCAGAACGTCCAGTATGAGATTCGCGGGCAGATTGTGCATCTGATGGCGTTGCAGTACAACAACCTCGGTAACGTGAAGGCAATGAGTTTGCAGCGTGGAGCCACCGTCAACGCCACTCGCTGGGAGTTCCAGTACGACGCGGACGGTCAGCTCGAGACGGCGTCGAAGGAAGGCGGGCTGGTGTGGCGCTACAGCCATGACAATGACGGCAACATCATCATCATAACCGAGGACGCATCGCAGACTGTTCTGATCTACGACGCCAAGGGGCACATCAGGCGCGCGGGTGGGACCCTGTACTTCATGGATGAGGATGGCTTCGTGGTGAGAAGAGACGATGTCCAGTACGAGTACTCCTCTGACGGGTTGCTCAGGCACGTGGTGAAGCCGGGTGTCTTCGAAATCTGGTACAAACTGGACGGACTGGGCCGCCGCGTGTCTCGTCAAGACCTAGCCGGCAACCACATCCAGTACTTCTACGGAGACCTGTCGAACCCAACGCGCATGACGCACATCATGAACCACTCCAACGGGGAAGTCCTCACGCTGCACTACGACATCCAGGGACTTCTGTTCGCCACCGAAAGCAACCTGGGGGTCTGGACGTACGTGGTAACAGACCACATGGGTTCTCCCCTGGCTCTCTTCAATGCACAGGGCCAGCTCATCAAGGAGATCCAGTACAGTCCATACGGACAGGTGGTCTACGATTCAGCGCCTAGTGTGGAGTTTGTGATCGGCTACCACGGTGGACTGTACGACCCTGTCACTAGGCTGGTACACATCAAGGGGAGGGAGTATGACCCTGCCATTGCTCGCTGGTACTCCCCTGACCACAAAATCTGGAAGAAGATCGCCCAGAACCCCAGCCCCGTGGCGCTGTATCAGTATAGGGGGAACAACCCACTGAGGAGAGAGCTGCATAGGAACTACATGGGAGGTTGGTGTCTGAATTTAACCTTTTTAGATTGCTACCTTACCAATATTTCAGTGGTACGTATAGCTAAAAGCTCCCATTAATAAACGATACACACCCAAAGCTAAGTACCTTTATGGATACAGATTGATAGCAGACATTGATAGCACACAAGCTAATTTTGGATCCCAATAAAGTCAGTCGCAAAAGGCATTGAGAGCTGGCTCTGTACACTGGGCTTCAGTCTCCACAGTGTCATTCCTCAGCAGGACTTCTACAATGTTCAGCATGAAGATTGATCTGATTTTGGTACTACAACTGTAATATTGCTGTTTGTCTGCAGATGTTGAGAGCTGGCTGTGTGCTCTGGGCTTCAGTCTCCACAGTGTGGTTCCCCAGCTGGACGCTTATGGACACCTGGACACAGGCGACATCAGCTGCCAGAGACAGAGGGAAGGGCAGCAGCAGCCTAAGCCACAAACCAACCAGGTGGGTTCAGCTACTGTCTGTTTTTGCATTATAGTGCCAAAAGTGTTGCTTGTGACACCAATAATTTGCAAGGGAATTGTTACTCAAGAAACCGACGGTCAGTCACAAACAAAAAGTAGTGGATGCTACATGTAGTTGAAACATCTTCCAGCTTTCAAAATCTATCCAGTTGCTTGAGTGACAATTCCCTTTACCAAGATGTCTAACCTTCATTGATGACACAAATATCGGTAATTCTTGCCAGGAAGGAGCAACTTTCCTAACTGTGTGTGTCTGTTCCACTTGTTCACAGATCATCCCAGCCCTACACTGTCACACGGACCACAACGCCAAGACCTTCCTGACTCTTCAGGCCACCACCAAGTCGGGGCTTGTGTCTCCCATAGCAACGGCCACACCCGGAGACATCTACGGCATTCAGGAGTCCAGCGTAAGGCAGGTGGTGTTAGGTATTGAGGATGGGAACGTGCGTCCGCATCTCAAGTCATCGGCCCGGCCAGAGTACAACATTCTTGGCAGTGTCTTGAATGGAAGCCTGTTCCTTGAACAGTATCACTTTACTATCGATGGCAAAGACGTCCACTATTTTGTCAAAAGGGACGCAAGTGCTGCAGAGGAAGACCTACAGAAGTTGAGATTGCAAAGCACTTCGAGATCGATTCTTGGTGCCTACTTGAACGCCTCGCGTCACGAGCCTCTGCCAGGCCAGACCGAGGTACGCTTTGAGGGGGTCAACTCCATTCTGAGTTTGCAATACGGAGACCTAGACATCATACAAAAGAGAATACTGGACAGAGCCAAAGTAAGAGGAACGGATATCATCTGGACTCAAGAGTTAGCTCTAGTGGAGCAGGGTTTGACTACAAAGTGGGACAGTGCACAGCAGGCGGACATGCGGACTTACGGACAGGTTCCCACGTATGGTGCCCTGTACATACGCCCCTCACTACAGTACCCAGAAATGGCAGACGATCCCAGAAATATCAAACTGGTGCCTCTCACCAGTCTAGACTCTGAAACAGAGGCAAGAAGGAGGAGAAGAAGAAGATAGCCAGGAGAGAGAACTCTGAATTCATAAATGTATACTAATTTTAAAGGGGGGAATGTACAAACATATAGTAACATAGCTGGAAGCTACTGAAACACAAGTTGAACCAACGTTTGCTTGGGTCTCGAACATCAATAACATTTGTGGTAACTCCCTTCGCGGAGACGTTTTTTGCAGTGATATGTGGGAAAGCATGAAGATTTCTAATTCTAGAGATATTTATTATTGTTTTAAATGTGAAAAGTTATGTTTTATTTTGTATTGAGAGGGTAATAAGAGAGAAGAGAAAGCTGTATCATATGTACAAACTTAACTAGGAAGCCATGGTTGATTAGAGAGAGTAGAGAAAGTGAAAGATTGCCTGTAAAAGCTGAAGCTTCTACTTATGCTAGAATTTGTATTTTTGATAGTGATACTTTTAAATCTAATTCCTTGGAAAGAGTGAGTTTCCTGAAAGGTTTCTGTACATAAGAATGTTCGACAGGCGGACAATAAGAAAGGTTTTCTTCCCTTTAAGGAAGCAACAACCTTTCAAGAAAAGAAATTCCTGTCAGGATGCCTTTTAGTGGCCTGTATGCATGCAGCTCTTTCGAAGAGGCTGAAATTGCTTGGTACATATCCTCGCAAACAATGCAGAAATTAGGTGATTGCTTCTGACTAGAAGCAAAAGATTGTGGCGCATCTATTCGAGATAGATTATTTCAACAAACAAGCAGGCAAATCACTTAGAATGGTAAACACTAGTGCAATGTGTGACTGTGTTGCACAAATGTTTTGGATTTTGACATATTTCACTGTGCCAACATTGTCGTAGTACATTTTAATGATTTCCTCTCTATTTCTTAGGTGTGTTTGAGCCTTATGTGTCACTCCTATGAAATGTCATATCTAACAGAAGTAGTAATGTCACCAGACCCTGTAATGTTTCTAGTCCAAAATGTTTCTTAGACAATATTAGCTTACTATCTCTATGTGTGCCCATTTTGAGGCCAACTATGTACACTAGCAACCTCTCAGTTACTTACATACTTGATGTGATGAAGGTAGTTTATTTTGAAGTGCCTTTGTACTTGTCCATCCAAGTGGAAAAATGATGAAAGTTGCATTGTGACTGTTCATAATTTTGTACTTTGTATTGATCGATGCCAATGACTGAGTGTGTACTTCAAGAGTACATTTGAAATGACCACAAATCGTGTGTTGATCTCACTGACTGCTAGTCACTAACATGTACAAGGTAGTGAATTTATTTCGACGGCACCTGTAGTTTTTTCTATGCAAATCTCATACTAGCATTTCTTCAGAACTCTGTTTTAGACACCTTATCTTAGAAACATAGTTTTGTTATGAAAAGTGTGGTGCTTGGTAGTCTTCTTATCATAGATGTGAAATGATTTAGACAACTTCACATTTTATACTGAGCGTAGCTCTCTGTAAATGATCAGCATTAGAGAAATAATTAAGTTCGACATTTCCTATTGTGATAAATTCCCTACAAACGTGTATGTAAATAAGATGAAATGTCTTGTGATGCTGATGCAAATAAAGTTCCCTGGAAACTTAGCCATGTTTGGGTGAATTGCCTTCATGCATGTGTGAATTGTAGTTCGAAAACAAAGTAGACAAAGGTTGATGAAATGAAAAAAAGAGATTATTTCTTTTATCAGAATACAACATATATAGGGGTAGCTGATTTTTTTTAAATTGGTTATAACTCAAAGTGTGATACAGGCATCTTTATTATATTTGGTAGGTATGTAAGTGTTGAGGCAACACTCCACCATATACAATAATAATCATTCAATTGTTGCCATGCAAGTGATTTTTATTGCCTGCCTTGTTGAATCTTGTTTGTAATTATTGAGTTAAGCATATACATGAATTTGAATATCGTCCATTTTCCCTTGACAAGGGACTGCTAGAGAAGCCCATGGGTGAGTCGGAAAACATAACGATCATTTACCTTCAACATCTGCTTGGAGCTTGCAACCTAACTTCTACATCTTGTTCTTTCAATGACCTGAGCATGTGAACCATTCTGACCTGCAGAATCTACAGCGATATGTACACACATTTTAGCAAGAAGCTGTGGTAATGATACAGCTATTGCACATTTGATTGTTATGTTCACAATTCCTCTGCATTTTTACAAAACATACATGGTGATGTCATGTTGCTGCGGATTAACAAACGACGTGTCTAAGCAAAAAAATCAGACTTTACCATCAAAGTGCTGAAAAATTTGACGTACTTCACAGTTGATTTGACCTGTAGATCCTCCTGAACTGTAACATGTAGATGACATCACAAGTGCCCATTATTACATTTTTACAACAATATTTCATGATAGCCGCAACACTGATTACATTTTACATCCTAGCCTGAAACAGCGCTAGCTCCTATTACATTGTTGTAGCAGTTTAGATTTATACAAATGTTGCAGCATTCTCAGTAGAGCTAACAGGGAAGATCCCCCTGGTTCCGTCCTGTAACTCCCCGTAACTCCAGCCTGGAATGTCACTTTCCTGTAAAACAAGGACACAGATGTTAACAACTATCATGTCCTATAGCAAAACGTAAAGATGGCTTTACGTTTGGTGAGACAGACAAAGGTGTTTGCCTTTGCTAGCAACACCATTAAAATGTCTCACAACAAAATAGGGAACAAGTGGTAAGATCGCTGTTTTTAGCTTCGAACTTTGACCAGTATACCATACCGCATGAGTATAGAATGGAGAACTAAACTGATCCCAAAGCAGACTACAATGTAAGCCCTTATTTAAAGCATAATCATCCAATACATTTACTTCTTTGATACTTTTGCTCTGAATAGGACGTCGACCGACATCTTTCTTCCAACTCACCTCTAACTCCAGGATGACGTCCCCCTTGGTGAAGTTGAGATACCCCGGCCCCCTCATGGTGAAGGTTTCTATCGCTGTTCTCAGCTGGGTGTCCTGTAGATCCAGTTCTTCCAGCGTTCTGAAAGATCAAATACGGTCTTGAGTGATCGACAAACGATGTGCTTACATGCGGTGGACTTGTTATCAAATATCAGCTCAGAGAAGAAAAGGAAACGTTCAAAGATCGCACACCAATGTGGACCTGTCCTTGGTGCTGAAACGGCAATCCATCAATATAGCTATCTCTACAGCTCTCGCTGGGAACTTCAAAATGGGGACTAACGAACAGTGGGGACAATTTTTACAGCACCTAGTCGATTTAGGAAAGGCACCGTTACAGCCCAGAATAGCGAGAGTGTGTGTAGCAAAGGCTACATTGTTGACTTACTTCATGATGTCTGGTGCCGCCGTTACGCTGCTTCTTGACGGCCGGGATCTAGACAAGGGACTGGTAGGGCCGGTCTCTTGTTGCGGATGTGGTGGGAAGCTACCGAGGTTCAAGTTGGGCGGCCGTCTGGATTTGTGTGACCCTTGAGTAATAAGATAATAATATAACTTTATTAGTAAATGTTCAACTCGAAGAGGACAGTACCAGACCAATGGCTAACAAAGATAACAAAGTCAACCAAAAAGATTTTATGATTTTTTAAGGCCTTTCGAAAAGATTTTTTAAGGCCTTTTATGTCAATCTTGAAATTTCGTTTCATTAACACTAACACTTTTTATTCATCAATACACAACAAAACAGTAACAAAGACAGTGTGCAACAAAATACAATGAACATATAAATACACAGAGTTGACATAACAGTGCGCCGAAGTCCCACCACCCCAAGACATTAAATAATACTAATGCTAACCGGGTTATTAAAACGTTATTGAACTAGAGTGACTTCTAACACTAACATTTATGCCACCTACTTTCCCCAGTTCCTTATTCTGATGCTAGGTTGAAGATAATACCAGTACCTTGGCCGGGTGTATCGTCTATGCTGGATTCCTCCAGCAGGTCGAAGTTGATGGGCATGCTGACTCTCCGGGACGGGGACCTGACGATAGTGGGCGGTTTCGGCGTGGTGGCGACGGAGTGCCGCTGGGAGGGCTGCCGGGGAGGCTTGACTGGTGCGGATTCCTGAACTGATCCTGAAAAGGAAAAGTGATACTGTCAGAAAAACCGATATCCATTAGAAGAGGCGGCGGCCCGAGAAACAACTGGAAACGAGACTGTCTGACACTGCAGAATTGATAAGATTAGAAACCAGTTAGACAGTCAGAGCGAATAGCCAAGAGCAGAACAGATGTGGGACCAAGAAGATGAAGTCTTACCTTGTAGAGGCGGTCCGGACGCACGCACAGATAGCTTCCTCTCGGCTGTGGAATACGTCGGTGACTTTTCACTCTGGATCGGAGGGGGAGGGGCACCAAATGTGCCTCTGTGGGAATATAAGGATGTTTACCGTGGCCGACAAGAACAAAATTTTACACCGCAACTTTTGGTGTTTTACACCGCAACTTTTGGTGTTTTACACTGCAACTTTGGGTGTTTTACACTGCAACTTTGGGTGTTTTACACTGCAACTTTTGCTGTGTTTTACACTGCAACTTTTGCTGTGTTTTACACTGCAACTTTTGCTGTGTGGAAAACTTACACCCCTCCCCTTTTATAATGGACGGTCCCCCTGTCAGGTCAAAGGTGACAACGATGGCATGCAAACTACGTCGACTGAGTTATCCTTTTCGTGCATATAAGTTTTTTAGAGGAAAAGCTTGGCTACGTTGTGACGTTGTGACGTTAGTTTTTTTCTAAAGGTTTTTCTTCATTTTAATGTCCCTAGACGTCAGCTTGTGACTTAAACGGATGCTAAGATACACAAACTTTGTGATAAAATGGTGAATCTTACTTTTCGAATACATGTTCCAACTTGATACCAGACTTTTACTTAGTTTGATATCTAGTGAATGTTGGTAACGTTTGCACCGCTACGTGTTGATGTCGACGCATGGTATGATAGAAATGATCAGATGTCTGTCTGAAGGCGTAAATATGTAATTAGCTTAAACTATCGTGGCATGATGTCATAAACGCTTAGAGTAGAGTAGAGTAGATCTTTCGTCTCGGTATTCGCTTGCATGCGTCTTCCACGTTTCCCCGCCTTTGAGTCACGTGACATTTTCTAGCTAGAGAATTCGGACTCGCAAGGTCGCTAATAATTTGATGAGTAAATATTGGGCCTATGGGAGTCAAATGTGGCACCACTTGGTACTATGAAGCAATAAAGACTTATTTTCAATTATGAAGTGTTGACTCTTGACTCAGTCACAGCACGACACTGTGACTCTCAGGCCGCCACCATCTTTGTCACCTTTGACCTGACAGGGGGACCGTCCATTATAAAAGGGGAGGGGTGTAAGTTTTCCACACAGCAAAAGTTGCAGTATAAAACACAGCAAAAGTTGCAGTGTAAAACACCAAAAGTTGCAGTGTAAAACACCAAAAGTTGCAGTGTTAAACACAGCAAAAGTTGCAGTGTAAAACACAGAAAAAGTTGCAGTGTAAAACACAGAAAAAGTTGCAGTGTAAAACACCCAAAGTTGCAGTGTAAAACACCCAAAGTTGCAGTGTAAAACACCAAAAGTTGCGGTGTAAAATTTTGTACTTGTCGGCCACGGTAGATGTTAGAGTCATACCGCCAGAAAAGACGTGTTGTGATTGAAACCATGAGCTGTATGTGTTATTGACCCCCTGTTTTCTTGGACCGAGCTTAGCATTTTATTTACCTTAGAAGAACCATGCCTGCAGTTTTCATCGTTTTAATCATGTTTCATGCACTTGAGTCTTCTTGTTGAACAAAAGAATGCTTGCCACTGGATCAGATTCTGTACGACTGTAGGATTGATTTTTCGTCGCCCTGTGAAATTTGTAACTTATCTGTTTTATCTTATTTCTACTTTGCCGTATGTCTGACTCTACCGACCTGTTCTGCTGCAGTGGTGCGGGGTGCTCGTGAGAGCTGGGCCGCACGGCTACCGTCGGTCTGCCGGGGCCGTCGTCGGCGTCGCTCGGGGAGTAGAACACCTCGGACGGGCCCTTGACGCTGGGCTGTTTGTTCATGAGGGATTTCCTGACGGACGGGCGCGGACGGAGCTGCGGGCGGGTCAGAGTGTCCTGCCCGGACTGAACCGACGGGTCCGGGACGCTTGACGGTTCAGCCTCGACTCTCTTTGCTTTATCGGTAGGTGGTTTGGGTGCCGGGCGCTGGGGCGGACCGTTGGCTCGGGTGGCCTGTTCAATGTGAGGGTACAACGCACAAAGTTGTCGAAATCTTACTTGATATATAGATATAGATAGTGCAAAGATGATAGGGATATGTACAGCAATTATAGCTGGCTTATGGAGTTCTTGCAAAGCCTTGGAGACACAAACGGAGGCAATGACTATGACTATGACTATGACTATGACTACATATAGAAGTTACTTATTTCAATAGACTGGTATGTATTTTAATGCGCTGTTCAATTTTGACAGGAGAAGTTTACTGTCTAATTTTCTTGGAAAGGTTTATCTAAGGATGTCAAACAGTTTCCCGTTAGTACAGATATTCCTACCTTTGAATCCTTCTTGTCTTCCCCAAGTTTCTTGACATAGCTCTCCGGGAACCAGCCCTCCTTCCCGGTCTGTATACAGACTCCCCGGGCCCAGCCGAGAGGGTCTCGCTCGTTCACCGTGATGACGTCGTCTTCCTCCAGATTCAGCTGGTTGTCGTCGGTAGCCCTGTACGCGTACACCGCGATGTAGCGCTCTGTCAGCGGCGAGGCGTCCGCGGGCTTGGGAGAGTCTGCGGATGAGGTGAGAAATCAAGATTACTAGTATATCGATTCGAATGCAGCGTTTGAAGTTGCGTATAGATAGTTCAATAAAACAGAGATAGAGGTACTTCTTTTTAGTGTGGTAACATGTTCGTTTAACGTATTAAAAATCAATTCAATTCCGATTAAGAACAAGACGGAGTTACTTCTTACGGCATGTGTCTACATGGTCATCTATCATAAGTAAGATGACCGACGAATGAGTCATATAGTCTTAAGCTTAATCTTAATATTTAAGCTATGAGATGTGAAGGTGAAGACGTTTGTTTGAGAGCTTGTACTGACCAAACTCTGGCGGGGGCGGCGGCAGGTCCAGCTCCAGGGCCGACTCGGGTTCGCTCAGCCTCAGCGCCATGGAGAGCTTCCTGTCACGTCCTGACCTGTCTTCCGAGCTCCTGGTGTTATGGAGTGTATTGTCACAGCACTAATCAACTTAAATTAAGAACTTAACCACATCAAATAAGATGCTATGCAGAAGAGTACAACACAATCTCAAGTATCAAGGTGGCGTAACGGTAGAGTGTTCGACTCGGAACCAAGAGGTCCCGGGTTCGAACCTTGCGTGCCACTGACCACCCTGGGAAAGACACTTTACACGACTTTGCTCACTTCACTCAGGTGAAAATGAGTACTGTACTGTCCTCTATGTTGGTGGAGGTATAAAAATAAGTTGGAAAAAAACTTGAGTGTGCCGTCACCACGTAGCCTCTACCAGACTTCGAAAGGCGGTCGGAAAGACAGATAACATGCCGATTTCTACCTCTCCAGCCGCCTCCCGAAGCCTGGCAGAGGCTAGTCACCAGTCTCGTGATCACATGTTGGAATAAAAAATGTGAAATACCTTCTGCTGCCCCTCATGGAGGCGTCCCTGTCGGGCAGGTTGGTGTTCATGATGAGGTGCATGCGGTTCTCCTCAGCGGGGTCGGGCTGCCCGTTCTTCAGCACCGCCTTGACGCGCGGGTGGGTCCGCACGTGCGACCGGCCCACGCTGCCCATCCACGGGATGTTAGGGGAGCCCAGGGTGGACGGCGTCCTGGATACATAACTTGTAGGCACAAATGAACAAAACATTCATTCATTACATATATATGTTGTAACAAAAGGCTTAATTTAATTGAAAACCTAAGACTGGACACTGGGTAAAGGAAAGGATATCCAGTCAGAGTACAGGGTGAAGTGAAAGACGCCTTTAAATTCAATTAGGGTGGGAGATCGACCAAAATAAAAGAAAAGTATGACGTGGCAAGAAGAACAGAACGACACATAATTCGAAATACACCCAGAACAAACGCAATCTATAGGACACACAGAAAAAAGCCAAAGTTACACGTATGCTTATCTGACGGTATATATATATCAGTTTTTTACCTGGCGCGAGAAGGTGGTCGAGACGAGGACACCGACTGGGCGGTGGACGCGAGTGACTCGGGGCTGTCGCTGCGCCCGTTCGGCGGGGTCGTCTGTGTGTTCTCGGAGAGGTCCAGGGTGCCCAGCGACATGTTCCTGAGGGAGGCTGACGTTGACACCGACCCGATACTGATGTTGTCTGGACTCCGTACAGGAGGCGCCGTCTCGTCCTCGTGTGCGAGCAGTTCGGGAGGAGGGGGAGGGAGGGACAGGTTGCTTAGAGACGGCCTCCGCTGTTGTACGTCATCATCGGAAGTTTCTATTATCGCGCGAGCGGGCAGAGTGGCGTCGGAGCCCGCAGTGATGCTTGGAGGCGGCGTGGCTTGTAGAGAAGGAGGAGGGTCCGGTAGAGAGGAGGAGTCCTCGTCGTTCACGAAACCTGCGTTATCCGCACCTGTTGGTGTCACAGAGCCTGTGAAAAGTGCAACAATCTGAGTACCCAGAACATGATAGAACGTACTTTATTTCTAATCAGGTATTCGGCTTTGCCGTGTTTTTAGAGAGTATTTGCTGTATGTCTTTAACAGTTGTAAGGCAAGGATTCAGTGAAAAGGGCCCACCAACTTAAAAACGCAGGAAACGCTACACGAAGGCGTACAGACAAAAACGTATCTGCTCAAAGATAGCCAACAAGCAACACAAATGGAAAGGCGGCGGAGGTAACTACTAACCTGCAGACTGTAAGTGTTTGGTGGGAAACCAGCCGATCTTGTTCTGACTCCGTCCGAACCACCAGTCGTCTGTGGGTTTGTTGATGACCTCCACCTCCTCGCCCTTCACCAGGGAGATCTGGTCCTCAGCCTCTGACTTGTACGACTCCTTCACTCGGTACTTTTCCACGTTCTTCGGCTTTGTATCTTCAAGAACAATATTTCATCACACATGATGAAAAACAACAAGCCTTACAGATGGTCCAGAGTTACTGAAAACAATTATACTTCCGATACGTGTAAAAATATGCAATCAATAAAACAATCATGCAATCAATCAATCAATCAATCAATCAATCAATCAATCAAAATCTTGCAATCATGCAATCATGCAATCAATCAAAATTATGCATAAAATGTAAAATTTCCACGCAACATGTACAGCATGGTCATAATCTATGCATTTTAATCACCAGGCCATCAAATAGGTTTATTGGAGTTACCAGTATTGATATCGAACTTTGTGACCAAATCTTATTGATCTTTTGTGTGCGAAGCATGATTGACGCTAGAAATGTGCATGTAGGACTACCGATGCCGCTGTCACCTGTTTTCTTCCTAGCTGTAGAGTTCCTATCTGGACGGTCTGGACGCTTTTCCCTGGGAGCCCGACCTGCAGTACCGTTGGTCTTTCCCAGGGGGAGCATCTCTTCCTCATGAGTCAGGTACTTTTCGTCCAACTGCGTACATAATGTGGGAAGGAGTGGATTAACAAGCTTTCCCTTTTAAACTAACCTACGTTCTGATACAAGTACGCAGTGTTCAGCCTACATGTTCTTTGACCCTGTTTTTGAAATGGAAGGTCCAGAGGTCGTACTGGTATTGTAAATGGAAGAGTACATTTTTAAAATGGGGCACATGGCGAAATTAGCTAGTAGTATTTTTAAGCCTAAGCGTTTACCTGTAGATAATCTACAGGTACCTGTAGATAATCTGTAGATTATTTGTATCTGTATAGCCGGTATAACCGCCCTTCAGCGTAACACACCAGCCTCGTAGGTACGCGGCGCGACGGCAGCTGGCTATATTTGTACACCAAACCACTTGTTACACCTAGCATTTGCACATCTAACTGTAAGCGTTGTTTAAACCCACCTATATCATCTAGCTTCTCAATCTTACCTGTACAGGTCTGTTACAGCACGTCACGCAGGCTATGATGATGATGACGATGATCAGAACAACCATGGAGGCCCCGACTCCAGCTACGATCGGCATCCACAGGTCTACATCCCGCGGCGGTATTGTAGTACTGTTGCCGATTTCCGTCGTTGTAGGACCGGTATTACCTACCGGGGAGACCACGACCAACGGGCCCCCTGTGCTGGCAGGTTGTGAGGAGGTGGTAGGGCTGTCTGGGATGGTGGTTGGAGATTCGGGGGTAGTCGTTGGGATAGGGGCATTGGTGGTTGGCAAGTCAGTTGATGTTGTTATGATTTGTGATGTTGTAGTTGGTTCGGGTGTGGTTGTTGGGATGGGGGTCGTAATTGCCGGGGTTGTAGTTGGTGGTTCGGGAGTGGTTGTTGGGATGGGGGTTGTAATTTCTGGGGTTGTAGTTGGTGGTTCGGGAGTGGTTGTTGGGATAATTGGGATGGGGGTTGTTATTTCAGGGGTTGTAGTTGTTGGTTCGGGGGTGGTTGTAGGGATGGGGGTCGTTGTTTCTGGGGTTGCAGTTGTTGTTGGTTCGGGAGTGGTTGTAGGGATAGGGGTTGTAATTTCTGGGGTTGTAGTTGGTGGTTCGGGGGTGGTTGTTGCGATGATTGGGATGGGGGTTGTTATTTCTGGGGTTGTAGTTGGAACATCCGTTGTTGCATGAACTGTTGTAATTTCAGGGGTCGTAGTCGGGATAGGAACAGTTGTTGGTATATCCGGAGGTGTACTTGGTATAGGCGGGATAGGGGTTGTAATTTCTGGAGTTGTAGTTTGAACATCGGTGGTTGCAGTTGTTGCCTGTGGTGTTGTTGGTACGTCACGGGTGGTTGTTGCAACCTGCGGGACTGTGGTCGGGCTGTATGGAGTAGTAGTCGGTATTTCTGGGGAAGTTGTTGTTATGATTGTTGGTGTTGTGGTAGGGATATCTGGGGTAGGACTCGGAGTTGGTGGGTCAGGCGTTGTAGTTGGAATGGTGGTTGTTCTCTCTGGGGTTGTAGTTGGGGCAGGCGTAGTGGTCGGTGGTACTGAAGTGGTAGTTTGGCCGGGTGGGTTGGTGGTTGTTGGCTCTGGTGTTGAGAAATCAGGAGTTACACCTATGATTATCTGTGGCAGTGTAGTCGATACAGCAGTGGTTGTAATTTGTGAAGTTGTTACTGGGGCGTTAGTGGTTGTACTGTGTGTCGTTGGAACGTCGACTGTTGTACTGGCCACATCAGTGGTTGTAATTTCTGATATTGTCGTCGGTGCATCAGTCGTTGTAATTTGTGGTGACGTAGGTGGCAAGTCAGTAGTTGTAACCGGTGGTGTAGTAGTTTGCAAGTCAGTAGATGTACTTATAATTTGTGGGGTCGTGGTAGGAACAGTAGTTGTTGGTTCGGGGGTTGTAGTTGGAGCAGGTGGGATGGGCGTTGTTATATCTGGGGTTGTAGTTGGAAAATCCGTTGTTGTAGTAACTGTTGTAATTTCGGGGGTCGTAGTGGGGATAGGGACAGTAGTCGGTACGTCCGGAGTTGTACTTGGTATAGGTGGGATAGGGGTTATTATTTCTGGGGTAGTAGTTGGGACGTGAGTCGTTTCTGGGGTTGTAGTAGGGGAAGTGGTTGGTAACTCGGTTGTAGTAGTTGGAATGGGAGTCGTTTCTGGTGTTGTAGAAGGGATAGTGGTTGGGGGCTCGGGGGTTGTAGATGGAATGGGAGTTGTTTCTGGGGTTGTAGCTGGCAAGTCAAGACTCGTGGTTATAATTTGTGGCGTTGTAGTAGGGGTTGTGGTTGGTGGCTCCGGGGTGGTGGTAGGTGCAGATGGAATGGGCGTTGTTATTTCTGGAGAAGTTGTACTTTGAGGGGTAGTGGTTGGCGATTCATGGGTTGTAGTTGGCAAGTCATGACTCGTGGTTGTAATTTGTGGCGTTGTAGTAGGGATAGTGGTTGGTGATTCGGGAGTGGTAGTTGGGATTCGAGTCGTTATTTCTGGAGTTGTAGTTGGCAATTCAGTACCTGTGGTTGTAATCTGTGGTGATGTAATAGGTATAGGCGTTGGTGAGTCGGGAGTGGGGGTTGTAATGGGCGGGGCGGCAGAAGTTCTGTCTGAGGTTGAACTTGGAGAGTCAGAAGTCGTGAGTTGCGCAGTTGAGGTTGGGCTGTTTGTTACCGTAGATGGTGAATCGGGGACTGCAAATGTGGTTGGCGCGTTGGGGGTAGATGCAGGCACGGTTGTCGGGTCTCTAGTCGAAGGCAGGGTAGCGACTGGCAAGTCTGTGGTCGCAGACTGGGACTGGACTCCTGGAATAATAAACACACACTTAAACAATGAGAGAATGCACAGAAAGAAAATAGACCATTCCAGTTACTGAGTGTTATTACCCAAACAGGGAAGGGAGTGCCATCATTATTAGAAGCGTTCCAGGAAGAACAATTATTAATCTCATAGTCAGCTGCTCATAGTCATGATCCAGTATTCAAAGTTTGGAATTTGTAAGTATAAGACGATATTGGGCAAGTGACCAGCGAGGTCACCTTGCTCCGTAAATGACCTTTTTTTCACAACACTGGCTTGCAATCTCACAGTACACCAACCCCACATTTAAAAGCACACAACAAATTCAAACATTCTTCCTCGCCGTTACCGTGAGAACAAAGGTAACCCGCGGATTATCGCCATAACCATGTTATGTAAATTGGTTCCGCATCGATCGATTTTCCCAGCGCGGTTCTTTGGTCTTTCGTCGTGTTTGTTCCTGTCAGAACTCACGCCCGCTATCGACCGCACGTCAGAAGGATCTCATGCGGCAGACTTGTACCTGAATTCACCCTGACACACGGCTCAGTCCTTTTTTTATTAAATACTAACAATCTGACAGTGACAGGGATCAAAGAAGCTTGGAGAAAACGCCCCCTTTTTCCTGTGCGTAAAAAAGAAATAGAACAGCGCACAGGAATTGTATCTGTGGAAGAGCACCACTAGTAGTAAACTAACCCAAACGTTCTGTCCTTGAAGTTGTTTGGGGGATATAGAATTATAGGTTGAATCCACCCACTGGGCTAGTGTGTAGATCCTTTGTGTAAGCTGTATGTTTTTCAGTAAGCCATTACTTCACAAATATTTGCAAGTTATGATCAATGACAAAATGACGGACAGCACAAACTTAAAGGCCGACGTTGTGGAGTAAACTATCCAGACGCCGGAGCCGTTCACAAACCCATGATGTTTCCGACAGATTTACGTTTAATCTCCGAAGAAAACGTTTCTCAGTGTACAGGATATAAACTAAATCCGAGACTTTATCAGGTCACCGTTATGTTTTGAGTGCTTATCTAATTTAAATCCAATTTAAACATCCATGGCACAACGTTTTCGTTGGTTTAGTCACTTGAACCTTGTACGACATGCACGTGATGTGCGTTACCAGCCATGACGCCATGGTCGCAACGTCAATGACAGGATGACAGCGATCTTTCAGAAGTTTGAAAACAAAGTAATAACATCTTTCATCAGCTTAGAAAGTTCTTCAGGGGAAAGTCTATATGAAGACAAGGCCTGGTGGTACGAAGTTGACAGAATCAATGGTTCCTCATTGATTTCTGAATGACTCATGTCGGTGTGAAAACAACATAGATACGCTACTGTTAAGGACACACCTGATGTGATTTCACAATTCCTGAAAAAAAATCTAAGATTATAATCACAGTTTACAAGGAACCTTTACTGTTACTTGACGTTGGTGAAATGTCGTGGTCTTTGTCAGGGCATACAAAGACAACGCCCTTACCTTGGACATGGACAGATACCGTGTAGAACAACAGTAAGGCAGCCCACGAACAAAGTCCGCTGTAACGTCGGCGTCGCATCGTCCTTTCTGGCCTTAGAATTTGTCAGAACGGTTCTTAGCGATTCCCAAAGTATCTACCAGTTCACACAAATGCAAGGTGGCAAGACAAACTTGACAATTCCTTAGAACAAGCAGAGTGTACTTCTTTAGGGGACTCCGAAGTTGTCTCTCGTCCCCTCCGCCATCTTTACTCGGCGTCAATAAACCTGGATTGAATATTAACCTGACCTATCTTGGGTTAAGTGTAGCGTGTACCTGTTGGGACAGGCTACCGGGTTGGTTGTGCGTACCACTGACGACAGGCAACGCCTCCGTTCCGCTTGAGTTAGTCGGCTGTGTTTACCTTCAAATTTAGATAAAGTACCACGGACAGGTGTGTAATACCGCGGTGTCCTGCCTAGGACGCTACTTCGTTTACACAAGCCTGGATTTGCTGAAGTAATAACATCTTACAGTTGTGGGGGGAGAGGTTGCCATAAAAAGAACAAATAAAAGAAAAGACCTGAATAGGAGGCGAAGTGATCACCCTGTTCATTGCTCACTGGTCGCCTGCCTGTAGACCGTCTGGTCTGTCTGTCGTCAGCCTCAGGGTCCGTCCCTCCATACCTCCATCTGCTGCCCCGTCTCTCTCTCTCTCTTCTTCTTCTTCTTTCTCTTATCTCATCTTCCAACCTCTTTCTTGGTTTGTCAGGTGGCCGTTCCGTCTTGGGCGTTTGGGCTTCCATTGGTATATTCTGGTATATACATGTAGTAGGCGAAGTATTTCCTGATATACATCTACACTTGAAGTCGTGGAATTTCAGGTGACTACCTAGGATAGTTATAGCTCTAAAATGTAACTGTGCTATATTCTCATAAAAGACAAACAAATTATTTGCCATCTACATGGACAGTAATGGTTCTGTACTTTTGTTGGAGAAATTCAAACTTCGCTTTGTGCACTTCTGACGTCAGTCGATAAGTGGCGCATATGTACAGCTAGGACAACTCTCGGGGCGAACACCAGCCTACATCCGACTTGCTATTGCTTTGTCCCTTTGTTCTTGAATCAAGAGAAGGCGTCAAAGTGAATTTTTGCAGTCCACTGGCCACAGTCCGGACTAATAGCTAACAAACTAAACACCCTACGAAGAACACAACACCAATGCTTTACGTTCTTTAAGGGTACAGGTAAGCCCCATAAAACAACATGATATTTGCGCTCATTCATGCCAACATATAATTACAATCACTATTTACACCATAACGTTATACCAATAACGTCTTTCTTTGTGCAAAAGTTTAATTTTGTATTAGCTGCATTTTGTATTTTGGATATTCCCGTCTCCGATTGCCTGGACGAACAAATAAACCGACTAGTTCCATATCAGGCCGCTAGAGGTCGCCCATAAGCTATATAGCTGCGTCTGTGAATTCTGGGGTAACAGGCGTTCATATCGATACCCCAACCACATTCCAAGGAGTTTTAACGTCCTTGCACATACAGATGAATGTTACTGAATGCTGCTTTCAGATAACTTTGGAGCTATAGTGAATTCAGTAAACGTTTCGTATAGCTGGATAAAGACATTTCTACACGGTTTATTTCAAGCCGCCCCGAATAAGGGTAAGTTCAGGGAGATATCCCCGTGAGAAAAGCGTTTTGGCACACGCCATGAACAAAGTCAAGTTCAGTGTCAAGTTGGCGACAGTTCAGCGTCCTGGGACCGTTAGGCGGAACCCGTTTCTAACGGAATAACGTAGATACCTCACGATGCTGTGTGAATCTGTGAGGATAGAAAAATACCACAGACAGAAGAAATACAATGTCTAACATTACATGTGTGTTTTCAATAGTTTCTTCAGTGCTGACTGCATGATAGTCTAACACCAAGGCCAAGGAAGCTACCTCACGAATGCTTTGTGATCATAGAAAAAATACCACAGACAGAAGAAGCACAATGTCTAACATTACAACATGTGGGTTTTCAATACAAATGTACAAATGTAGTTTCTTCACTGCTGACTGCATGATAGTCTGTGTAACACAAACACCACTGTCCGGGGCTATAACGGGGTCTTCCCCACAGGGGGCGGCTGGCTGCATGGGGCGCAGGCTAATATCCGATGTCTTCTCTTGAAGTTGAACTTGAATGACCCATATCCGATCAACCCATAGCCCCAAGGCATTGCAATTTTCGCTGAGTGTATTGAACCTACAATCTTTATTTCCCGATGGCCTAATATTAAGAGCAGGGGCCAATGGAACAGTTTTATGACCAAAAAGAGCACAAACTCAACAAAGAACCAATTTTGAATCGGAGTTATATCAGGGGAATATACCAGCACGCAGGCCACCATTCTAATGTTTATAGGGACTACTTTTAACTCGCATGGAATCCCTTTCCCAGACAAAGTCATTGGCAAAAGTTAGTTTGGATGGGCACGGTATGGCTGGCTTTCCACCCGTCTCATTACAGATCTATAGCGCAGGGCAAAGGCAGTAACATTACCAGTGTAAGTCATATTGGCAAATTGACAAAAGAGCTGTTAGAGCTCTTTGTCGTTCGTTCCGGTCGAGTAAAGGTTGGCAAAAGTTCTCAAGAACTGTGATCCGCTAAGCTTTTCCATGTTTTCAATAACTCAAAGTTAACGCCAGTCAAAACAGTTTAGAATTTAGCGTTTGACGATTTGACAATGGCGACTCTCTCACTAGTATGCAAAAGTCAAGTAGTTAGGAATTTCTCTGTTGTTCTTTTTCGAAGTGGCTGTACTTCAGAAAAGCAAAGTTAGTTAGAATTGACGGAGTTAGTCGAAAAGGCGCCGCTAAGACCAAGTTTTTTCAAGTGTTCTCTTGGCGCCTTGATTTTTCGGGTGGTGCGGTTGAGTGTTGTGCGTTGTTCGGTGTGTCCATCCGCCCCGGTAATGTATCCTGTGTGGCATGGCAGGCATGCAGGCTCACATGTGTGACCCGCCACTGTACTCACAACACTCAGCCCAGCCAGGTCGCCAGCCAAGCCTCAAGCCGGCAGGATCGGCTTCAAACTAGCGGGTCGGATCGCTTAGCATAGCCGAGGAGTTTGCTGGCATCGGACGCTGGTGTTTTCAGTACGGACCTACCGCAAGGCGAAGTTTGCAGCAAGTTTGTTCGGAAGTTTTGCTGGTGTGTTTGTGAAACTGGCAGCTCGTACTGTACTGGACCTTTTTTCTTGATCGGTACCGACCTTGAGAGGCTGGTATAAGAAGCATCCGGGCTACATCTTGAAGTAGTGGGAAGTGCAGCGAGTGTCTTAGATTGTGTTTGACTCGGTCGGCAAACTTGGCATCGAAGGGGTTGGAGTAGAGACGAGCCGAGCTTGCTCCAACATGGCGCGGCTGTGGAGGAGAGAGGACGGGATGTTGTGGTGTGTTCTCCTGGCGTGCCTGTGGACCGTGGCGGTGTGTCAGCGGGCTGGGACCACCAGGGACAACCTCATCCTCACCAA